GCAGCGGAGCCAATCGAGGAAATTCGAGGAAGCAGGTATTCAGCTTCCCGGAGACCTAGCTAAGAACCACGAGCTCCGAAGAGAAGTGGAATTGAGTGTCTGCAAAGGCCGGCGCTGGAGCAGCGCAGGGAGAAGGATCATGGCCGAACAATGACTTGGTGACATCGTGTAGTTGAGCTTGATGAGTTGATATGAATGGAACATGATGGAAATGCCTGTTACATCCTCTTACATAGGACAAGCATATCCCCCTTTCAAAACAACAGGGCCGAGCGTGGCCCCTTCTCACCAACTTTGGCCAACTTGATCAGACACATTCCAGCACAGTCCGCTTTGCTTTCTTCCGGCAAATCCACGAAAACGCTGCAATGTCATGCAATGTCGCTGTCTGGATGAAACCGTGAATGCATCAAGTATATAAGATGATGAAGTCATGATAAAGTCTTATTTGAATTTATATATTTGAAGATATTGATTCAATTTGATTCATATTGTCTGCGGAAGCATTATCCACGCAAGTTGTGACCGCCAGTTGCGGCTTTGCTTGCAGAATCATTTTACTCTGCAAAGCCCATTGTGCAGCTTGGCGCAAAACAGAGAAGGACCAAACGACCACAAATACATCACGTACTAAATACATCCAACTATATCCAACTATCATGTTCTGATATGTTCTGTCTATCTCTCTCTCCCTCTCTCCTTGTTGTTCCTGCACCTTGACCCACTGAGCTGTGCCCCAAGATCTGCACCGACTACTTTTGCCAACTCACTCATGCCCAATCTCCTCTTCGATCTCCTGCATAGGTTGCGGCTGAAGGTTCATGACATGATGGCAGCTGTGATGTTCAAGGTCATTCACATTCACGTGGGAATATCTTCCCCTTTCTGTGCAAGATTGACGAGCCTCGATACGACGCCTCAGGAAACACAGCCATGTTGAGCCACACTTTCTACGTGATTACTTCCTTCTGACGAGAATGATGTTTGGTGCAGTTTCATGCAGCTGGGCAGCTGCAATGCAATGACCTGTTGGTGAATTGAAGTCTTCTCACCCTTGAGGCATGTGACCTGCGCCAATTGAATCATGCAACATGGACATGATCCTCCTCCACTCCACAAATATTGAAACCGATTGGGAGTCACAAAATGTCAAAATGCTCCAGCCTGTTGCTGAAGCCGCACGTTTTCAGATGCTTGCAATTGTGCTTGGACCTCAAACCTGAGCTTTGGCGTCAAAGCAATCACATGGTGGGAGTTTCATATTGGGGCAGCTTGCTCTTCACAACTTGTCACGTTCTATCAAAACCGTTCAAAACCTCAGCCTACGAAAGTGAGTCCCAGAATCTCTTCCATCATTCGCTGGACGTCTGCTGCAAAATACCGTTTGATGTCCTTGGGGCACAGAGACTCATTTCGATGTCTAAACCTGTCCAGTAGCAGCGATAAAGTCTGTGCATGGTTGGAGTTTTGCAGCTTTGAAGCGGCTCTGTTCAACTCCTAAGGACCTACATTCACATCATGGGATATTGGACGCACAGCCACAAGTATACCTTGTATATGTGACATTGTTTTGAAATGTCTTGAAGAAGCTTTCACTCGCATGAAACAGACCAGAAGACTACAGTATAGAAGACTATATTATATTTCTTCCAAATGCAATCGAGATACGTTCAGCTGTCCCTGCATGCCAGTTGATGTATTCGCATTATCCGCTTTGATGCTGTGAACATGGCCTGCCCAGTTTGCAAGCTTGATTCTTCAAAATCGTGTGGGCAGGTGTGTTGAATTCTTTCTCCACATTGTACGATTCCTTTCCTGTCCAGATATGGGATATCGATACCGCACCTTTCTCAATGCTGAGTTCCTCGTTCTGCATTTGGAGAGTCGTGGCCAAGTCATGAACCTGCATACAAAGCGCAACAGCAAAACGTCGCTGATGCTCAATGAAGTGGTCGAAAATGCTCAATTTCAACATGGCTTCGACCCATTTCGACCCACGTGGCCCGGAAGGCCTTGCCCTTCATTCCTGTGGGCTTTCGGCTTGACGCGCTCATCGTTGAATCTGCCCTGAGCAAACGTCTTGGAAGGACATGCGAAGTTCCAAGGCTGGACCTATTGACCTATTGGAACAGGAGCAGTTCAACCTCGTGGGATCAGACGACGTATTGCATTCAGGGCTCATTGCGGATGCAGATTGAGAAATTGAGACGAAGGCGAAGATGGCAATGGATGGCAACTAGCTAGTAACTAGCTTGAACCAGCAGTCTTGCAGGGTTGCAGGAGTGGTATGCCGACACGATGCCGACATGAACTCGACAGCATATACGAAAGGGCTACACCTCTACTCTACACAAATTATGACAAATTGTCTTTGAACATCTTTGAAAGCCATTTCACTTCCAAACTTGGAACAGCTGGCCTCTCCCCAAGCTCCCCATAGAAACATGGACCTCAGGATATGACTGCCCACGAGTCCAAAGTTCAGATGAGCAACCGCGGTTGCACGTTTGATGTTGCATCGTTTTTGTTGTGAAGCTGGGCTACTAGTCTAGATTCATCAACCCGCCAAGTTTCAAGATTACGCTGGAGATTTCTCTCCAAATCTCCTCGAACTGCCAAAGGCTCATACAAGGTCAGCCTGCGCCCTCCAGTGACACGAGCAAGCAGCACCTGAAATGAGTCAGTGCATTTGGGCACACCTGAGGACATCCCCTTGAACATGGAACCCTGGACGTGACCGATCGTGACACTGCTGCTCAACCGGTCGACCTCAGTCAACTTTTCTCATCGGAGCTACAGCCGTTTGGATGTTCTCCGACAGATGTACGTCGGGTATGCTATCACACCCTTTGGGTGCCAGTTGTTCGTCTATGCCGGTTTCGACGACTAGAATGCCATACCCAAACAACAGCACCAGATCCAAGCCTTTCACGACTTCAAAATACAAACTTCTGAAAAATGGTACTAATTGTCTGGGCCAGCTATTCCATTCCTTTCAGCCCTGGAGCAAGCAAGCAAGCACTGAAAACACTACAAGGTGATCTGGTCCGCAAAAGGACCTACAAAAATACACTCATCCGGCTCTACATCGCCACCTTAACTTTACTATGACTATATCAGCATCTTCATATAATCATATATAATCTACGTAGCCTGCAGCTTGCAATGGGGTGAGCAAACTTTTAATGTACAAGCTCTGCCGCACATGCGAGCGCCGCATCGCGACAATAGAGTTCTGAAGCGGAGAAAATGATCATTGGAATAATATGTGGTCTTGATTTTACAACCTGGACATACCTTCCAAAGTTTCCAAAGTTTTGCAGATTTTTAGCCAGAAATCTTGCGGCAATACTCCAATGCCAAAGCCACGCACTTTGAGATGCAGATTGGCTGTTTGGAGCGAGGCATACTTCTGAAGTTTGATGCATCCCAAGCATGAGCTTGGAAGGCGTGGATATGTGGTCAGCTCTGCACCTGAATACCACCAAGGCTCAAGAGCTGTGGGTGGGAAACTACCAGCACGGAAAACGACGTGAAGCACTCCAGTGGCAAAAAATGAGTCTCTGACAGGATTCAGAAGTGTTGTGGACAACAAATCCTGCCAAGTGCTGCGATAGCAAATGGCTGAAAATTGCAGCAAGTTTTCTGCAAATCCAAATCAAGGATCGATAGGATTAAACTGGGAAGGTTCCAGCCTGGTCCAGTGTAGGACTTGCTCCCGGCCTGAAGGAATTGAGAGAAACTATGACTACGACCACCAACACTTGTGTCAACTCAGTTGCAGAATGTACTGCCAACTCAGTCATAATGAGCAAGAAATCGTATGAAAATGTATAAAACAACAAGAAATCATTGAATTTGGCAAGGCCGTTAAAAACTCTGGCCCCACAGCATCCCTCAACTCCTATGGCATTACTCATAACACCCATGACATCCACCCGAGGCACAGCACATCACCCACGGCATCAGCACACAAAATGCTCACCCGTGGTACCACAGCACCAACAGCAGAACTCGACTATGGCACGAGCAAGCACAAACCTCCATAGGTATCCTATGCTATCAAGCTGAATTATACAGTAATGATGTAATGATTCACTGACCTGAGAATAACTGAAATAAGGTCATGTGGGGATGATCCCTTGTACGAAGCTCACAATACATTATTCATCCAGATGCCATGGTCACCTCAGAGGGAAAGTAGGGGTGACTAGGGCAAAACATTCATTTCAGAAAATAATGAGCTGGTCGCCGATTGCAAATTCTAAAGCAAAATCATCATCCTTCTCCTCCTCCTCCTCGTCATCATCATCATCACCACCACCACCACCATCATCATCATCATCATAAATCACAATCATCATGGTGTCGGGTTGTCGACCAGGTATCCTCAACATCTCAACCAAGGCGTGGACTGCGATGGTACACGCACCAGGAACATGTCCGGTGCGACCTGCCGACAAAACAATCACGTACAATTTCATACATGTTCATACAATTTCATACAATCACTACATGCTAAGCCAAGCAAATCTACGTGCTAAAATGTGCCAAATCATGCGTGCCAAGGCCTGCAGGCATTGTGCACCGCCCAAGTGGGACGCTGACTCCCATGTGCTCTCAGAGCCAGCCTAAGGCTGCGCAGTCGGAAACTGTCCAAGATCTTGCACGCACTGCCGCATTGCTCAGAAACGGATACGTACGGATTATCTGACAAAAAAAATATGACTGATATGCACGAAGCTGAATTTTGGGTGAAGTCTGAATGTGCAAGGATTGCGAATCCTTTCATTGATACGAGTACCCAGCCTTATTGTCTGCCGTATTCTGACTCAGGGTTCCGCTGCCTTAGCTTTTGACGGAGTCTCTTGATTCACATGAGAAGGATTAGGAAAAGTAAGCAATGGTCCCTGCTTGTCCCTGCCAGGGATGGGTTCTGCCATTGAATTTCTGCACATGTTGGTGGTTTCAAACTCCAAAAGGAAGCCATGCGGGTGTACCATCGCAGCTCATGAAGCCTTGCTACTTGGTCTGCGCTTTGGCATTGTTCTCGCCGGTTGCATGCACATACCAGGCTGCGAATACCTTGGCGGGGAGAGATGGGATGTGAAGCCAACAGGACTAGCAATATCTATCTAGCAATACTGTTTCAAATCCTTGCGTCACCTGTGTCTTTTTGCTGGTGCAACTCAAGCAAAACATGCCCGTCAGAGATGCCCAGGTGTCAACCCACCGCCACTGGGATGTTCCACTTCAACACCCGAAGGACTCCGAAGGAAGTTGTCATGTCTGCCAAGTGGCAGCCAATTGGCATTTGTTGGCTGTGGCGCTTGAAAAGCCTGAAATCTTCTGGCTGTTTGAGGTTGACATTGCACAGGGGCCTCACTCGCAGCTCACAAACCAAGAGCCTTCATAAAGCAAGATCAATGATCGAGGCCACAAGTGCTTCTAGCGGAGACGATCTAAAGCCATTATCACATATATATATATGCATTTCCTTTATATATGTGTTTTCATTGACATGCATCATTATAATTAAATCAACTGCAAGTATATAATTCTATATTATAACATGTTGTAAATTGTTACAGCACACAATAAGACATTTTTTTGCCTGGAACAGCCCGGAACTACAGATGATGCCATGGCGCTGATGGTGCTCTGCGCGGTGACGGTGATGGAGTCGTTGCATCCAACCTGTGAGCTTGTCGTCCACGAGGACTGGGACTGGGTGCGGAGTTGGTCACCGGCAGAGCGACCTTGAATGACTGGACTGAGCACAAAAGCCAACTCAAACTGACACAGACCATTGACCATCTCAAATCTCCAACTCACTCGAGCGTCACTCGACTGAATATCACATACATATAATAATATAATTATAACCATGCTGTTATACATATATATATATGGTCCCGTCCTCCGTCTCTCCACCCCCCCCTCCCCCCACTCGTAGGGTAAATTTTTGCGCAACCTAGGGTATTTTTTTGCGAAAAACGCGCCGCGATGGGTTGGGTCCCCAGGTAGCAGCCCCAATTCCCTTCTATTTGCAAGCTATTGGCAGCATTTCTGAGGTCCAGCTTCGTATTTGCTGTCTTTGCAGCATTTCTGACTACCAGCCTCGCATTTACTAGGTACATGCTACCTTTTAGGCGACCTACGTAGCACAAATACTCCTTCAAAGTACCTACGTGCTACCTATAGTCATATATACATGTGCTATGTATCTACTGTATCTACTTCCTATTTACTACTTGTGTACTCTGACAACACTACCTGTGTTTAACATATACCGTACCTACCATACATGTCAATGATGCCATGCATACCATACCTATCATATCTATCATACATACCATACATACAATACATATGAAATGTAATTACCACACCTACCATACATACAATAGCAAACATACATGCCATACATACCACACCTACCTTACATAGGAAATATTCAATATTCCATACCCGTCATAGTAACCATACATACCATGCAGACCGTACATACTGTCATATCAAACATACCATGCCCGACAGATTTACATGCCATACCTACCATCCATACAATACCAACCACTCATGCCATACATACCATACCTACCATACATACCAAACATACCATACTTTCCAAACATGCCATACCAGACCGACCATACACACCATACATACCCAACATACCATACCACACCCCCACCACACCACAGGGGGGGAGGGGGACAGTGCCACACCCCCACCACACCACAGGGGGGGAGGGGGACAGTGCTGGGTCCCCAGGTTGCACCCCCCTTCCCTTCTATTTGCAAGCTATTGGCAGCATTTCTGAGGTCCAGCTTCGTATTTGCTGTCTTTGCAGCATTTCTGACTACCAGCCTCGCATTTACTAGGTACATGCTACCTTTTAGGCGGCCTATGTAGCACACATACTCCTTCAAAGTACCTACGTGCTACCTATAGTCATATATACATGTGCTAAAAATCTACTGTATCTACTTCCTATTTACTACTTGTGTACTCTGACAACACTACCCGTGTTTAACATATACCGTACCTACCATACATGTCAATGATGCCATGCCTGCATACCATACCTATCATATCTATCATACATACCATACATACAATACATATGAAATGTAATTACCACACCTACCATACATACAATAGCAAACATACATGCCATACATACCACACCTACCTTACATAGGAAATATTCCATACCCGTCATAGTAACCATACATACCATACAGACCATACATACTGTCATATCAAACATACCATACCCAACAGACTTACATACCATACCTACCATCCATACAATACCAACCACTCATGCCATACATACCATACCTACCATACATACCAAACATACCATACTTTCCAAACATGCCATACCAGACCGACCATACACACCATACATACCCAACATACCATACCACACCCCCACCACACCACAAGGGGGGGAGGGGGACAGTGCCACACCCCCACCACACCACAGGGGGGGGAGGGGGAAGATCTCATATGGGGCCAGTATATGGGACCCATCCCATCGGATAGGAGGGGGGGGTGGCAGGGCCTGGTGCATATATACTTCCCGGTAATTACTGGCAATTGAAAAAATCTCTGCTGCGACATGCTGATTTTAAAGCAATATTAACTGTTCTGATGGGCAAGACACTGTAGGCAGGTTTGTGGGGCGCAGCTGTGTCTGTCCCAATACAGCGTTGCAACCTCAGCACTGGTCAAATCAAATCAGAAGGATTCGGGTTGGCTCCTTGTGATGTGGATGCTCGATTAAGTCTGGTTCCTACACAGCATGGGTGGAAGCGCGCGTTTCCTTCGCGAAAAAGGCAGGCTGGGCTGATGGTTAGAAGACTGTATCCGGGATCAACATGGATCAACATCAACTTGCCAGCCTTCAGGTCTGGCAAATCAACTTCCAACCACTGACTATGAACTTTAATTCGTGCAACATCGTGCAACTACTTCCCACCTGTGTCCACTTGTGGACACAAAGCGGGAGTGCTATGCAGCCTGGTTGGCTGAACCACATTTCAAAGTGAGACGTAAGGCTAAGGCTAATATAAAATCAAATCATGGGCCCATCTGGCCCTAGCAGCTCAAACGATACTGGCAGCCCTTCTGTGGAGGAAGGCGCTACCCAAATGGTGAAGAGACCTGCTTCCACAGTGTAGGTCTCGCTATGCCTTGAGTAAGCTGCAGAAGCGAAAAGAAGATTTTGACGAACTAATGTGAAATCAACTTGCTGTGTCTCCCCAGGTTCCAGGATAATTTTCTTGAAGCCCTTCAACTCTCGCACGGGCCTCACGCGGCTCGCAACTTGATCATGAACATAAAGCTGAACAACCTCTTCTGCAACTCGGTGTCCAACATTCGTAACATTGCATGCTATTGAGAGGCTTCCATTCCAGGGCAGGCGTAAATGACTAAGTCTGGGAGTAGTGTAGTTGACCTTTGCATATGTCAAGCCGTGACCAAAAGGGTATAGCGCCAAATCAGGGACGTCCAAGAAACAGTTCGTCCAAGATCTACCCCACGTGCAAGGGCGACCTGAAGACATGTGGTTGTAGTACCACGGCTGCTGTCCACTTGCCATTGGAAAACTGATTGGCAAACGGCCAGATGGGCTGTAGTCTCCAAACAGCACATCCGCAATGGCATGCCCAGTTTGTTTTCCCAGGAACCAGGTGACCATGATTGCTCCAGCATCTTTCACAGCTCCACGAAGCTCCAAAGCTCTGCCATTCTTCAACAGAATGATCATTGGCTTTCCAACCTTTTGGACTGCTTTTGCCACAGTTTCGGCCAAATCTTGTTGGACTTCTGGGATTGTGATCTCAGTGCGTGACCTGGACTCCCCGGAATGAAGTGAAGTCTCACCCAATGCCAGGATCACAACATCTGCCCAGGTGGCTACTGCGGCAGCTTTCTCCAAACCGCCTTTGATCTCTTCATCAGCACCGGAACCCTTGGTGGCGCGCAGCAAAGACTGATTTTGGACGGCACCTCGTAGGCCTTCCATCAAGGTGACTCCGTGCGATCTGTTGCCCCATACAGACGCCAACTCCATCTAAATCCTTGGAGTTGATCCACCATCCAATCACGCCGATCTTTTGGCAACACTTCTTGAGGGGCAATATCGCTCCATCATTCTTCAGCAGAACCAAGGATTTCCGAGCAGCATGACGCGCCAGGGCATCGTGCTCTTGAATCATTGTTGCATTTGGCCAGCTCTTAGTTGGATCCAAAGATCTGTAAGGATTGTCAAACAATCCCATGGCTGCCTTTGCACGCAGTATTCGTCTCACTGCCTCATCCAGCCTATCCAATGACAGCAGGCCATCGGACACGAGCTGGGGCAAATGCTCTTGGAAAATGCCACTTTGCATGCTCATGTCCACACCAGCTGACAAAGATATCTTGGCTGCATCTGACCCATTAGCAGCAAAGCCATGATTCACCAACTGGCCATCAGCTTCGTAGTCGGTCACCACAAAGCCTTGAAAGCCCAACTCATCACGTAACACCTCCGTTAGCAGCCAATGATTCCCTGTGACTGGTACACCCCCAAGGGCTTGGAATGCGCTCATGATGGAAAGGGCACCTGCTTTTATGCCAGCGATGAAAGGAGGTAGAAACACATCCCGAAATGTGCTCTCGGACATGTCTGATTCACTGTAGTCAAGTCCAGATAAAACACCTCCGTATCCAGCAAAGTGCTTCAAGCAAGCTGCCAAACTATCCGGTGACTTCAAATCAGGCCCTTGAAATCCTTCCACCCTTGCACGTGCAAAAGCTTCACCAAGAAAAGGATCTTCGCCAGCACCTTCGATGTTGCGACCCCAGCGTTGATCTCTGGCAGTGTCAACCATGGGGGAAAACGTCCACATCAATCCCGAAGCAGTCGCTTCTTTTGCAGCTGCCCGAGCTGTTTGGTAAGCCAACTCTGGTTCCCATGAGGCAGCCTCCCCCAGAGGCACAGGGAAGATGGTCCACATGCCATGCCAAATGTCCGCACCAAAGATCAAAGGAATGCCAAGTCGGGATTCTTCCACTGCGATCCGTTGCAATTCTCTGTTGGTCTTTACCCTTTCGCCATTGAAAAGGCCACCAACTTGGCCAGCACGGATCCACTTAAGGGTTGTATTCCAACGGGGACTCTCACCGTTAAAGTCAGAGCCCCAAGGCCGAGCAAAGAGGCTCAGCTGCCCTGCTTTCTCTTTTAGGGTCATGCTGCTAAGAAGCACTTCAATTTGCCCATCGCTTGATACCTTTGGACCAGCAAGTGCAACCGGGGTCGTAACAGCCGAAAACACACCAAAAAACGGCAGAATGGCTGCAACTGCCAGAAACATTGACAAAGCTGGCTCCATATCAAACAAAAAGGCCCGCAGGCAACCTGGAGCCAAATGCTACCATATATCACATCTGAAGGCTAGATTGAATTGGACGGTGGCTTATGGCTTATAATTTATGATATCGGCAAGAAATGATTCAATGATATTGCAAACTTCCGAGAATACTAGAAAGGAATGAGAACAACGGAGAAGATGAAGACCGAGAACTGCGATACCGTAGCACTGAAATGCACTGCAATGCACTGCATACTAAGGTCTAGGTCCCATGGCTTTGGCTGAACTGCTGTATGCTTGGCTGCGCTGCTGCTTCCCCCCAGGACCTGCATCGTCCAGGACACAGGCAAACATAGGCAAACTGCAAACTATTTGATTCTCTTGGGATAGGATGAGCGTCATAAGACTGACAACTGCACTTAGCAGCAAACAGAGTTCTCAATCCGGCCTGCTGGAATTCATCTGCTGCGAAGGAGTCACCATTCCAGGCAAGTTTGGTGCTGGCGGCGCTTGCGGCGCTTGCGGCGCTTGCGGCGCTTGCGGCGCTGGCATCCTACGTGTCACATGGCCACCACAAGCAACATCATCCAACCTTCATGTTGGCTCATGAGGGCTCCAAGCTTGTGCTGCATGCAATCCCACCTGTAGAGAGAAGGAGCACCTCTGGTGGCTGGACCTCGAGCACCCATTTAGAAAGCTGAAGTGATTGGAATCACATGAAAAGTGAGAGCATTGTTCAGTCAAGCAAGCTACATACACCCAAAAAAGAGACCTAGTCAGTTGGTCTGAGTTCGTCTGTATTGGTCACCTAGTCTTCAGGACCGGGCTCACACTTCGTGAAATTGGTTCCGCTGTATATCCTGCAGGCTGCCATCCAGGGTCATGGCATCACTCCTCGATATCCCTTCGATGTCTAACAGCATCCAACGATCCTCTTGTGTGTGGCTGTGCGGCCGGCCTATAACTTCGATCCTCTGCTCCTTTTCTTTCACTGCTAGCTGTGGGGAGCTCCACGGTAGCGCTGCGATGCCACTCTGGAACTTGGCTGTCCGCACAGCCTGTCTAGTGACTTCAACATCTTCAACCCAACACAAAGCTTGTGCGCTTGGAGGGGGCATGTCGCGGGAATGGCCGGCCTTTGCTGCATCAACTGCTGCTCGAGTTGCATAGGCTAAAGCATCCGCATGTGCCAGGAGGCCTTACCCAACGACAGCAAAGCAAATGCACATGGAAATGCTGAGATGTTCAGTCCTTGGATACGAAATTCGACCAAGAAGCTTTGTGAGCTGCTCTGCCGACGTTGAGGTTTCTCGACCTCCTGTTGTGCTTTCAAGATGTTTCAAGTAGGTGAAAGACCAACAAAATGGTGTAGTCGGATGTTTCAGATCGTGCGCTCTGATTTTTTTAAGCGATGAAAATGAATTCCAGAAACATCCCGTATGAAGCAACTCGTAGTCCTCTTGCTTCTTTTGGCCTGTGGCCATGGCCTGCTCAGAGTCATCACTAGTAATGTTGTGCTTCAGCCCCTTTAAAAACTAATCAGAAACCAACCTTGTTGGAAATCTGAGTCATATGTGAGATATCTGAGTGGCCTGATCTTCTTGCTGCATTTTGTTCACCAAGCAGTGCCTCAGTTCGCTGACCAGCTCCCAAGCAACCTGCAAAGCAAACAGATTGAAAGTTGAGGTTCTTCTATGTTCTTCTGCAACGTGGAGAACGCGACACGAAGCCAGGGAAAAGCATCTGGAAAGAGAAATCCAAAAACCGCAAACGCCTTGCAGCTAGTCTGGATATATGTCTGGATGTGTTTAAAAGAAAAGCCTGTTCTCTCTCACAAAGCAATGGCAGGAGCCTGCCTCGAGGTCATGTTCCATTGCAGCCTTTTGATGTTCCAAAGCCGCTTTTTGCTGGTTTGACCTCATCGCGGCAGCGTGCACGCCAAGGGTCTTTGGATGTCTTTGGGATGCTCTAGAACGGACTAGGATCTCAAGAGGCAGCCCAAATGTTTCGACAATCTCCATTGCTACACCGTCACTATCATTCCCTAATGTAATTACATCTAATTTCCATCCACCAACTGCTATGACTCCCCCTACCATGCTGTTCAGTGGAAACATAAATAATAAGATAAACATAGAGAAACTAAGGAAGTCCTGCCCTCTACTTATGGAAGTGTTTTTGTCTTCGCACTCTCCGTGCCAAAGCCTCTGCCGCAAAAGTGCACACGGCCCTAAATGCAAGGAAGCAGCTCATCCAGTTGCCTTGGCAGCAAGAATCTGCTGAAACTCAACTGCCTGCCGCATTGACATGCCTTGATGATCCTTGATGATCATTGATGATCCTTGATACCTGTCACTTTGCTCTCTGGAAAAATTGGTTCCCATCATGATGGACAAAAGGCCAAGTGTCCGTTGAAGTTCCGCCATTGCGGCTTCGACCTGCTTGCCCTTGCGTGCAATCTCCGGAGTGGCTTCCTGAGTCAAGACGGAGCTAGAGCGAGCCACTACAGAAGGGCCCAAAGCGTCCTTCTTAGCGCTCATGCTTATGGCATCTTCTGGCGATGTCTGTAGATCTACTCAAGGTCCAGAGATCTTGATGATCTTACAGTTACATGGAGGACATTCCAGGAGCACTCTCTTAAGACAATTTGCTGGAAATGCTGTGCTAACCTGTCGTGAAATTCAATCAAATGGTTCCTCTATGTTACTCTTGCCATCGCTTTCCCTCATAGTTCAAACTTCCGAGGGTCCGGTTCAAGCCTGGATGGGCTGCTTGCCTTAGCCAAAGAGCTTGCAGCTTCGGTCCCGCAGCAGGGCAAGTTGAACTTTATGCTCCAAACCAAACGCGCAAGAAGATAAAGACACGCACGCAGCAGAGACTGGGCTGGGATTTCAAAACCACATGCAGGTATCTGAGCTATCAAGCTTACAGTATTACATGACCTAAATATTTACGTATAATATGAACATGACCTAAATAAAAAGAAAGTGATGCCAGAAGTCCCACACGTTCTGACACGACAAGGCCATGCCACCAAATGAAGGACGAACCTCTGCGGAAGAAACGAAACACACAAGTAAGGCAGAGCAAACCCAGAAGTCATTGTTGTGAAACAACTCTGGAAACTGGGTTTATTAATCAAGTCGGAAGCTTGCACCCGGCACCCGATCCAGCATATTACAGGCGACGCGTGGGAGGAAAAACCTTTCAGGTTGGCCCGTGGAAGAATGCAAAGGCAAATTGCAGGGGGTCTAGTAAAGTGTGCTACTGTAGCACGTTAGCACGTACCACAAATCCTGGCCAGCTCAAGTTGGGCAACTACTCATTAGCTTTGAGGGGATCTTGTGCTCAGCCAGGCATTCTACTGAAGCTTAGTGGCCGTACAAGTATAGCATGTGAAGGCAGGTTGCTGGCGTGCCCTTTCCAAACAATTTCTGCATGTTGATTCAGGACGGTTGGGAAAAAAGAAAGGCCATGCACCTGCCTTGATTCGATTCGTATGCAAGTTATTGTCTGGGCAACGCCTGAATGGGAATGCCTTCTGGAAATATCTTGGCCCTCTTCAAAAGAGGCTCCGTAAAATGGATCAAAATGAAGCAAAACGGGACCATCACCCATCACCAAAAGCAACAAACGCTTTCGAGCAGAACTAGCAGTAACTAGCATACAAACACAGTTCCTATCAGTTCCTTGCAGCTTGTGCTTCAATGAGTTTCAATATGTTTCAATGGAGCAGCTCGCAGCTGGGTCACTGGAGATTTGTCAAAAATGCTGCCTCTGCTTTGCTGCGGCTCAGCCTGCGCCACAAGGCGAGGCGGAGCACGTCACAAAGCACTCACCAAGCCAGAAAAGTCCCAAGCTTTTCCGAAGCAAACCATGGCCTTCTCTGGACTTTTCCTCGGGGCGCTTGGTAGCAATGTGTCTCTTCTCATAGTGGAGTACGGAAATGCTCAAGGCTTCCAAGAAACAGCTCCTGTACCAGTTCTCTGGATATGAGATGATGACGGAGTGATAACTATACAATATGTCATATGTCAATAATTGTTGTAGATACAATCCAAGCTGCTCTGGTCCCGCCAGCTTCAAAGTCATTCTCCTGCTCAAGCAGCTGTGGTTATTTAGAAACGGACCAGAATCAAGCAGGAGCCGCAGGAGCCAGCACTTCTCATGACAATGGCTTTCAAAAAATCTGTGCGGTGAGTCTCCTTCCAGAAGTTGTTGGCCTCATAGTTTCATCAAGTTATCAAGGCTCAGCAAGACCAAGATGGGAAAACCATGGAAAACCAGTGCAAGTCTCTGAAATCCATGTTCTACGAGAGCTGCAGCTCAGCGGCGGTTTGTCTGTTGGTTTGAGCAGCTTTTTGCTGGCTCCGAAGGGCCTGGCATTCCAAGGTTATCCATGGCCACTCGCACCCGTGGAACTTGCACTTCTGAGCCCAACACCTGTCAGGGACGATAGTGGTCCTGGCGCATGCAAAGGTTTCAAAGGAGCGACGCTGTGGGAGGTTGTTTTGCAAAAATGACTGCGCTTGGAAACACGCACTAGCACGCAGTAGAGAAATGTCTTCAAGCTTGGCTGGATTTGGCTAAGCAGGTCAGCAAGACCTCATCCTGCCACTTCCAGCCTTTACAAGTGCTGCTCGGCCATGGGATGTCCTGCCTTACCAAACGCACATATGAAGTCAGGCAACATGTGTTTTCTTCATCTAAAACTTACACCAAGATGCGCTCTCTTTTTCCAGCGATCATACATGACCTCCACAACCTTAGCTTCCGTCTTTGGCAATCGCGGTCTTTCACTATTTTCACTATTGTCAGCGACTTGCAAACAAAGCAGCCCGAAAGACAAACGAAGAAGTGCAGCTTCTGTCGCCATGCTCCTCTCAAAGAATCGCTACAACTACAACTTAGTATGGCTGCTGCAGGGCTGGGGATGCTGGGGGCAGTTCATTGTGCATCAATCGGTGGCAACAGCGGGCAACATGGGCGCCTTGTGATCAGTGGTTGCGAACCGTGAGATAGCTTAAACGCTCTCTCCGCCTCTTCCACCATGCTCCTCAGATTGTGCGAGCTTCCGTTCAGCGGTGTCTGCAAGCCTCTTATTGGAGTTTCCATGTACTTCCTGATACCGCACAATAAGCTCCGCGTGTCGCGACAGGACTGTTCTTTTACTTCATCCCTGATACTTAAAATACATCTTCTAACAATCCTCACCGCAGTTCAATCTGTGCCGCATAAGGGTTCCCATGAAAAGATTGAAAATTGAAAAGATATGAAAAGATTATGTTTCAGTGACATGCCAAAGTCTTCAGCAAAGCATCTCCAAATGTCTCATCCGCTCAAAGATCTCCGTGGGCTCGGCTTCATGCCAGGGATCTTCCAACAGCGGCAGCTCCACCGGTTTGCCTCCCAGCGTCTGCTTCAGACTGACATTGCTTAGCATTGCTTCATATGTTTATAGAAGCAATATGATTAATTGATAGTCCATATGCTGTGACAAATATATATATATATATTACAATATTACTGTTATTGTTACTACTATTATTGTCATTATTATGTTCCAATATATTGCAATAGTATATTGCAATTATTGCAATGCATTATATTATATATATATATATGATTATATATGTGTATATTACTTCTTACATTATATACATTGTGTTATCATAGTATATCATATCATTACACAATGCATAATATGTATAATTATATATATATATTGGATTATATTGGTGCACTATCGCAATTACAAGTAATATAGTTTAGCAACCAGCCAAGGCGCCATAGTTTTGGCATTCCCGCCAGTAGTCTTTCATGCGGTCCAATCTCTCATTGAGCTGGCGCACAGACCAGATATACCTTTGATTTGTTGAAAGGATGACGACATGCAGAACCTCAAACTGTCATTCAAACCTGGGTTGATTCAGAGATATTGAAAAATTCAAGTGCCAAGACTCCGATTCTTCCATTCCTCCTCATCTTTGCAATCCCGGCCCTTTTCGCACTCAAGGACACGAATAGCCACACACCTTGCTGTGTTTTGTTCATTGGCTACATTGTGTGTAATTCTCAAGCCATCACAAAATGGGAACGTTAAAGACGTCAGGGGGCTCTGTGATCAGTAGGAAGGAACCGCTTCCAGAAAGGGACCCTGCTAGCCTTCATATCATGCTCAGAACGGCACAAAGAGAAAGAAAATCGAAAGCATATAAACCTTTAGAAACAGTTTGTTGGAAACCTTTAGAAACTTCCGCCAACCTTCATTAAATCATATTAAATCATATTAAATCCTTATTAGAAGGTTCAGGTATCAGTAGTCTATAGTAGTATCTTCCGCCCAGGTACGGTGGATAGGTGCTGGTCAGGTCCACCTCAAAGGACAGGCCCTCCTTTCTGCACTCAGCTGTGATCTCATTGGCCTGGCAGGGATGTGACAAGGGATGTGACTTATAAAATCTTGTAAATACCTATGGTATCCTATGGTGTCCTATGGTACTTGTGGCACTTTTAACTAACTTGTAATATTATTGTTATATATATATATAATACATTATAATACTAATTATTATGAATTCTGATGATACTACTGAGTTACTACTGTGATACCATTGTGGTACCTATCGTATTTTGATATATCCTGCTTCTCTTCATGCTCTGAGCCAAAGTCATGGGCCACAAGGCCGAAAACCTTGGGCTAGACAGGCGCGTTCTGAACGAATCATGGGCCTCGTCTGTCAGTCGGCATGCCAGCCTTAGCTTCAACCGCTTCATCGGCTAGCAGGGCATGTTTCCACGTGCCAAGGTGTGCAAAGGTGGTCTGCAGACAAGGAACTTGATCTCATCCAATAGCTGGGATGCCGCTGACTTGCTAGACCTGTCCCGTAACAACAGCGTACCACAAAGTCTCATTCAATGTTTGTACGCAACTTCCAGCGATTTCCCACTGTGGAAAATCCCGCCCCGTCGGATACTGCATATCTTCTATATAATATAGGTCTACACAGATATATCTCTATATGTATAATTATGCACGAACTCGAAAAAATACACATATCTATGAATTATAACTTGGCCGTGTGTGTGTGTGTCTGTGTGTGTCTGTGTGTGTCTGTGTGTGTCTGTGTGTGTCTGTGTGTGTCTGTGTGTGTCTGTGTGTGTCTGTGTGTGTCTGTGTGTGTCTGTGTGTGTCTGTCTGTGTCTGTCTGTGTCTGTGTGTGTCTGTGTCTGTGTCTGTGTCTGTGTCTGTGTCTGTGTGTGTGTGTTTGTGTGTGTGTGTTTGTGTGTGTGTTTGTGTTTGTGTGTATGTTTGTGTTTGTGTGTGTACGCTGTGCGCTGTGCGCTGTGCGCTGTGCGCTGTGCGCTGTGCGCTGTGCGCTGTGCGCTGTGCGCTGTGCGCTGTGCGCTGTGCGCTGTGCGCTGTGCGCTGTGCGCTGTGCGCTGTGCGCTGTGCGCTGTGCGCTGTGCGCGCGCAATCTCTCTTCCTCTCGCACTAAACTGGGCCAAGGATCATTTGGCGAACCACTTGTCCAACATAGTCTTGGAGGCTTTTCCATGAAGCCGAATTGTTGAGCCTCGGCCCACAATGCAAAAAGCATCAAGCAGCGAGTGAAATCTCAGCCTTCACTGCAGCAAAAGTTTTTTGGCTACTGCTCGATACGAATAGTTTCACAATCAAACTATTTCAAACTGTCAAGACAAGACACTCAGAGGTGTCCATTTCCTCCTTTTGTAGCACCAAGTCGTCTTGCATGGGTGCTGCCCCCTCACCAGGGCACACGAGCCTAGGCTTCCAACTGGCAGTCAAATGTCTTCTTGATTTGTCCGCAAGCACAAGAGAAGAAAAATGAGAACCCCAAAACCATCTAGCTTGAGAATGCTTGAGAAGCCCGTCCAATCTCAGCAGTGTCCCGCTACATGAATTGCATTGAACTGCTTCCATGAGGCTTCAGGACGTAGATGCGACCAAGGAAGATCTGATCGCCTGCGCAGCACACAAGGCACAGCCGGCACAACCATGGCCAAGTCGATCCAAGTCGCCGTTCTGAAGCAGTCGTGTCTGCCCCGGCTCCAGCAGCTTACCTCAGCAATGAACAGAATGCAAGGGAAGTACATCATGGCCTTGAATTGTCATATCAAATTGTCATTTCTCAGGGGTTTGGATTCATTCTATGACTTCATCCTTCACTTGCTCATTCTTCCAACTGCAACGGCTAGGCACCATTCACAGCTACTCGTGCACCATCTGAGAGCCGTGTGAGGCTCACAGGCCCAGCACCCTGCCAAGCCGTACTTTACCCGAAGGATCAGGCTTCGCAACGGGTTAGCAACATTTTGCAACTGATTTTGCAACTGATTTTGCAACTGCACAGCTCGGATCCAGGAGGAGCATGGAGGAGCACAGCACATCACAACGCGACCTCCGAAGGTGCTCTTTGACGGGCCAGAGCATCTGTAGCAGCCTCCTCAAGGCCAGCGGCAACAAATATTGCAAACATGTTTTCAATACTGTATTTTTCAATGCTAGGCATTGGATGTAGCCTCAAAAGTGCGAATTCGTTTCATCACTGAATTAGAATGAATTAGATATACAGGCCAGAGACAGTACTGAAGGTTTCAGAAAGGAGGAGTGCTCCAAGTGCAAGGAAAATCTGTTCTGCACACAAAACTCTCACCGCCATCCCAGGATTCTACGTGCGCGCGACTGTAATGCCTGGTCCATCTTGTCCAATCTGCACAGATGATCAGGGATGCCCAGCCCTTGGATCGAAACCCAGTTGAGGTGCAGTCTCTAGAAGCTCAGGGAAAAACGGAAGGCCCGGGAAAACCTCTCATGTAGTTCTCCTCTCTTCAAGCAAGAAATCACAAGAAACCATTCGCAACGCCACACAGGATAACACAGCCATCAGCTCGGGGAAAAGCCAGGCACCTTTGAGTACAATGGTATTGTCTTTGTGTGATCCCATCGTCGTTGGCTTGCTTTCCTGGTCACATCAAACGACAAAAGGAATGTCTACCAAGTCCTATCCCATGAGGCCAGAGTGACCCTGGCTGAAGGGCTGCACGTGAATACAGGACACGAACACAAAAAGATACAAAAAGCATCAAAAAGCCCAGCCATGCCCAGCCTGAATGAGGTAAATGAGGCAACCAGCCATCATTGGGTCAAAAGCCATGTTCACCATGTATGGCTGACCACTGGTGATGCCGAAGGCCTTGAAAGAGTGCTTAAAACTGCAAAGGTTGATGCAAGTTTCCAACAAGTTCATGCTAAGATACCTACAGTGTCGTTACAATATGTTACATGTCGTTACAATGTGTCATAACATGTCATAACTCATCCATAGTGTTCCATAGTGATAAATGATTATCTATGCCAATCTATCCTAACATATCTGCTGTGCAGCCTTGGCCATGTCCTCATTCCTCATGTCCTGGCCTCCGTAATGTGACCATGGGACAGGCCACTCTCTTCCAAGGCCTTCTCTCTGGCTCGCGTCATTTCCTTGGCTGCCTGCCACCAGGGGATGGAGGGAAAATAGGGAAGCCTCAAAACGAAACAGCGGGGGAAAATGAACGACACCAACGACATGCTTCTCACCTGCAGCTCTGTCTGAAAATCTTGCTGCATCTGTTCCTGAAAGCAGTGCTACCAGTTCGAATCACAAGGTAACCACAGGCAACCGTTCCTGGCACGGTCCTTGATCAGACGTTCTCTTTCCTTCAACTGTTCTGCCGCCTCTGGAGCCTCAGGTTGCAATCACGTCCCCAGGCTGCCTCCAGGCGAAATGTCAGCAGCCTCGCTGATGTGGTCATTTTGATGTCAAGGTATGTCAAGGTACATTGAGTCCGCCAGCAGCCATTTGAGCTTTCAAGAGTCGCATTTCCTCAAGCAATCAGACTGGTCAGCGAGAGGGGATGCATGGCAGGGAGTCAACCAACAGCGGCATTGAGCCAAATCAAGGAGACACACCGCAAACTTCCACATCCTGAAGTCATGACAAGACTCCTCCTGCAGATTCTCAATAAGCGCATCTTTCTTATTCTTGTTTTGTACAGCCACTGTCTTGATGCTCTTCACCTAACATTGTGCAATCATTGCTGGTTGAAAAGGCACCGCAACGTTTTCCCAACTCGTTGCCATCAACTTGGAAGATGCTGGCAGCAAGGCTGGCACTGAGGATGCGAAACGCAAGGTTGAGATCGACTCATCATAATTGTCCTTGGACATGTTCAGTTCTCAAGGGCCCCGAGATGACAGTGCAAAGTGATGAAGCCCAAGGCCCAATTACTTCGAAACGTCAACAGCACAAGCTGCATTTAAGGGTCGCTAGCTGGGGAGATTGTAGCCATCATACCTTGCAGCACAAACCAAATTTGCAACTGCTTTTGAGGAGTTGTGCCTACAGAGCGAGCAAATCCGAAAGCCTGTCAGAGCCGACCCTACATTATGGATTGCTGAGCGACAAGTCTTGGAGTTTCCTGCCAGAGAGTCCTGGCTGCGGGATGACAGTACCAGATAAATCAGTCTCGCACTTTCACTGGACCTTCCTGTTGGATCGCCTGTGCTACCTTCATCTACCTTCAACATGTGCATCCAAAATGGCCGCAACTTCCGGGGATCAACAGTGGCTACCGTGAATGAGACATGATGAGACACTTCAATACACTTCAGGTATCTTCAGGTAACCCTGCCATTGGCGGTTCCATGTAGTCGCTCTTGGTGCCTTCAGCAAGAAGGTCAGCTTTGAGGCTCGGAACATGGGGGCTTTGAGACCCCCAGAACTGGCTTGCTCGGTGAGCATCCTTAGCAACCATGAACTTGGCAGGGTGTACAAACCATGCGGCAACCAGGGCAGAGCCCAGCAAAAGGAGAGAAGAATGTTGTCACTTGGTGAATTGCACCTGGTGTTCTGGAACCACAAGCCCTTTATGACATTTATGGCAAGGTGCTTGATGACCAAACCAAGCTGCGAAAGACTCCTTGGCGGCTTCAGATTCACCACAAGACCCATCACATCACAGAGTACCGAGCAACATGCCAAAAAAAACACCAACATTGAGGCTTTGGAATTGCACCTATTCCTTTCAGCGGTGCTTTTTGCAAACAAAATGCTGATTGATGGCACAGCCTTCCTTCAGCCTTTCTTGCTCTGTCTGTGCCTCCCGAAGCAGCTGTTTGCTGGAGGAGGCCCATAAACAGAAAAGGTCCAAGAGCTCATGTGGAAACCTTCCATTGAACTCAGACATGAGCGAAGCTAGAATCTTGGTGCGAGTAAGACTACGTTCACATGGGAAAGGCCTAACATGAGGGATTTGAAGGGTCCAATGTGAGAAATTCTCCAAGAATGATCAAGGCTTCCATCACATTCAAGGCAGATGCCTTGGACGTTCTCTCGCTGCCAGCTAAATCAATGAGATTGATCTTAGCCTGAGAGCTCCGGGAAAACCAGGCACAAGGGCACAACTGGATGCAACTGGACAAGTGAATCAACATGTGGAAATTAAATGAAATTAACATATATATGTAAATTAACATCATCTATCATGTTGAATTCCAAAATGTGCAGGTGAGGAACCTGCAGGGATTTCCGTTCATCCTTGTTTTTGCCGGTTGGACGCTCACCCTCCAGGCGATTGACAATGATGGTAAAGACTGCCTCGAAGGCCAAGTTCGGCGACAGCCAAGGCGCCACGGCATGGATAGGCGATGGCAATGTGAAACCAATATGCAAATTATGCAATGCGGTTTTCATATGTTTTCACAGTGAACATATGTGAACATATGTGAACATCATCAACAACTTTGAAGCAATCCATAATAATCCATACACCTCAGGCTCCTAGCGTTCTTTCATTTGCCAGGTCACATGCGATCTGGATGAGTTTTGATTCATATTTGTTGAAGCTATCGTGCGCATCTTCAGGCCATATTCCAGATTGCCTGAGAGCAGATGGTGAATGCATGCAAACCCTGTCAGATTGCCACATCCCTCGAAGGATGCTGGTAGGCACATGTTTTCTGTTGTGCTATTTGGACTGAATCTCCCTCTACAGGAAATAGTCAAGGGAGTACAGCGCAGACAGAGTCTCAGCCAATATAAGGGTTGTGACTGGCATTGTTCCAGTGGTCCCACATGGTCGCACATGGTCCCACTCCCGCTCTGCCAAAGTGTTACCAAATGATGGCCAAGCTGCCCATGACGTCCTTCTTTGTTTCGCACGGCATCAAATACAATCCTTTCACGTAGACCCCGAGCTTCGGATGTTCCTGAGAAGCAACGGTGTGTGGACTCTTGACACTGGGGGAAACATGCCAAGGATTGTCAACGAGAAGTGACAAGTAGATCAAGGTAGATCGAGTAAGTGACAAGTAGGCATCCTGAAGTATATGGAATGTGATAAATGTGGCGATGGCCGGACGTCGCAATTCTGGCACTTCTTTTTGCTCCTCTCAGCCGGATTCCTCACTCTATGTGTGCAAATCCTCAGGAGCTGCCTTCCAGGATGGCTTTGGCTTGAGCGAGGCCATTGATCTCCGTCATGCGATTCTTGCTTCGCTTTGCAAAGTTCACAATGTAGTAGTTGCATTCCGGCTCAATGTCCTTCATCTTCTCGAGCAAAGCTGTCAAGGACTGTTTCTTCAATTTCATTTCAGCTGTGGCATCCTCCTTGTCTGAATCCACCGCTCCTTTGCCCTTTGCGAGCTGGTCAATGGCCGACTCCAGACCAGCTTTCGCAGTTTCCAAGTCCTTCTTGGAGTCTTGAAACACCTCCTCCGCCTCAGCCTCTTCCTTCGTTGCAACCTCTGTCTCTTTTTCCAAGTCACCCATCAGGACCTCCATCATATGGACAACACCAGTGCTCTGTGTGCCTGCGCCGCCGTAGCTGCCCTCCCAAGTCTTGGGTGCACCACTGAGCTCTGTGTTGGCCTTCATCTGAGCAAGGCTGGCCTTTTTGTAAAAGCTGCTGATTTTGTTCGCTGCCTCCTTGAGCAGACCCACTGCCGCCTTGTCGTCTGCCGTGGCTTTGGTAAATTCTGCCTTCTCTGCAGCACGCACATCAGCTGCCTTGGAGAGCTGAGCTTCAACATCAGCAATCTCGGTTTTCTTCCCTTCAATCTGTCCAGTGATCTCCTTCAGCTTTGCTTCGTTGAAGGAAACTGTTGTCTCCAGATCTTCTACAGATCTTTCAAACTTCTTCTGCGAAGCCTCATCTTTGGCTTTGTTGGCTACGCACGTGTCCTTCTTCTTCAGATCATCAGCATCCTCCTTCTTCAAGAGTGCAATCATATCATTAATCTTTGCCACAACTGTCTCAAAGGCACCAGAGGAGTCCTGTTGATGCAGCAGTGCCATCAGCGCAGTCACCCGTCCATCCTGAGAGGCGCTGTAGGCCGAGGACAAGGCTTTGCTGGCACTTTGACTTTGGGAGAGCTGCAGAAAGCTAAAGGAAGATGAAAACAAATCGCGATTTGCATCATCGGTCAGCAAGGTAATCGCCTCACCAATTGCTTTCAATTCCCCAAGGCGGTAAGTAGATCTCTCATCGAACTGGGATTTCTTGTCCTCCAAAGCTTTCTTCACCTCAGGGATCAGCTTCTCATCAGCCTCAACTTGACTCTTGAGATCTGCCACTTCCTCCTTGGAATTCTCGATGGCTTGCGCACGGGCAGCGTGCTCCTGTTGGTCCAACAAGTGTCAAGAAAAAACAACCTTTACTTTACTCTTATATAACCGATTTGAGATTCACGTAGGTTTAGGGAAAGTTAAACTGACGCATCAATTCTGGAACGACATGGAAAGACTGCAACTCTCGGAACGCATGTCCTGCTCAAGTTTTGCCAGCATAGCCGCGGTGGTCTTCTTCTCCTCATCTTTCAGGCTAGCCACCTTCTTGAAGGTCTTGTCTGCCTCCTCCTCTTGCTCAACATCATCCTTGAGGTCTCCTTCAATGCTGGTTTCCACTTTCTGCAACTGATCAACCACTCCCTGAGTCTGGCTGCGATCAGTGGACAAGGTCGAGCCCAAGAAGCGATGCAGGAATTGGCGTTTTGACTTGGACAAATATTTGTCACTCACAGCGAGGCCTTCCTTTAAGCTATTTGCATGAGCACGACGTGCCACAGCATCTCCACCTCGCAGACTGATCAGCATGGCCTTCTTTGGATTCAAACTGGTTGCCTCCAAACTTGTAATGACCTCCTTGAGTCCGGCGATGGCCTTCTCCATGTCCTCTTTGTTATCTCGTACTTCTTGTGTTCTTCGGTCCGTTCAGTCGTGATGTTGGCAAGCTCCGAGCGAATGCCAGCCAGTTCCTTCTCCAAGTTGTCCTTGTCAGCTGTGAAGGTAATCTTCCCAGCTTCAACGTCAGAGATGTAGGTCTGCAGGGAGGACATGCGTTGATTGGCCTTTTCCACAGCTGTTGTCTTCTCATTGACCGTGGATTCCGCCCAGCACTGATATTTTTGAAACAGGTCCTTCTCTGTTTCGGCTTCACTCTCCAGCTTGTTGTCCAGCTCTTTGAGCATGTTCACCACACGGGTCACTGGGCTTGCAACATGGGACGCATAGCGACCCGCAATGACCCAAGGAAGCAACGCCGCGAGGAAAGTCTTCATTGTGCAGTAGGCTTGGTCTCCTCTGCAAGTGCCACCGAAGTGATCGAACACAAAAGTGATCGAGCGGGGCTTGAGCAGCAAAATCACACGGAGAATCATATATGGTACAGTCACAGTACAGTCCAAGACATGACAAATCCATCAACTGCATGCCATACTGAGCTAAGTGCAAGAAGGGCAAATCATCAACCCTATTGAATTCTTCTGCAGTCAAGGCTCCATAATCTTGAGACTTTCACCCTGGGCGCTCAAATTATATGCCCAACTCCGAAACACATCACTGACATTCACTGACGATATCTGCCCTTGATGTATCTCTACCGTCAGGGTCTTCTGTACTGGTCAAATAGCAAGCCATCATTCCCACCTTTGCATGACGGGAATTCAGCGCAGCAAAAAGGTCGGTGACTTGTTCCTCCCAGGCCGTGGAAATCGGATTGTCATCCAACGTTGCAGCACAAGATGCAAAAGGCCAAAACGTCGTTTGAAATGTGCAAGAAAACAGCAAAGCATGGCTAGGTCTACACCTTGTAGATCTCCAGGTAGGAAATTCGCACCTTGCAAATCAGAGACTGGGTCAAAACCCCGGAGCTGATATTGAAAAAGAAAGCAATTTAATAATTTAGTCAGTTGCTCAAGCTCCCAAGTCGTTTCGATCACACCTCCAGCTCTTGCAGAGGTTCCTTCTCCAACCGATCCTGGGCAACCCATATGACCAAACCCAACCCAAACTCCTACGAGTACTGTGTGCTCTCCGTGGCTAGGCTGGTTATGATATTTTTCTCTTCTGGGTCAAGACACTTTCTCCTCAAAAAGGCCCTCGATCATACGTGGGATTACACCTGCTTGGCGCGGCGCGGTTCAGAATATGGTGAACTCACTCGCACAAAATATTGTTAAATATCAGAATTCAATCACAGCTCCTGCATCATCCTCGTCTTGTCCGCCCATCATGGTGTAGCTTTTCCCACCTAGGAACCGGACTTCAAAAAGCATCTTGCAGGGATGCATTTTGGTGACTGGATTTCCAAACAACTCCTGAATGTAGCAGATCTTTTCTGCTGGTCCTGAGTCTGAGTATACTGCTTCCAGTCTGGCCGTATGCGAAGAGTGTGCAGTTGAAACCATCGATTGCATTCCTTGCAGTTTCTATGGGAGGAAAGGCATCGGCCACTTTGCGGCATCAACACGTGCGTGTCCGTAGTATTCCGTAGTTAGTGGAAATGCAATGCTGCGGAACATGCAGCATAGTTGCGAGAGCATGGTGTTCCCAATGTCTTCAAAGATCTCATTCTGCGATCCTTCTCCCGCATTCACAGACCAGTACCTCGCTGGTTGATACTCGACAGGAGGACTGCACCGCCCCGCTGTACTATGGTGTACTATGATGTACTATGTGGATCTATGAATCTATGTGGTATGCATGCTCTTGCACCTGTGAAGTTTGGCTGGTCCTCCCTTGTCATATTCCCTCTAGGGTCTTTTGACAAGGTGCGTGTAATCATAGGTGAAGTGCTTGGGGTTCCTGACAAATTGAACCAGCACAAACAGCACAAATGAGAGTTGGTCAGCCGATGTCATACAGCAGAGCGAAACTATTGAGGTTTTCAGTGGCCTCTCAGAAAGCATGGTTACCGTCTTGCCACTCATCGACACCTTGCTCCGCAATACCGTGAGCCAAAAATATCCAAAAGTGCATGGCGCGAATTCATGCAAATTCTGCAAACACTTTGGTGGAAAAGGGGCTCTCTAAAGACTCTAGCCAAGACACGCAAATATCGCATTCCAGTTTCTTCTCCCGCTGATTCACTGGCCTTGCTCTAACGGCCACCTGTTCCAGGGACAAATCAGCCCTCAAAGTGCCACTAATGAGTTTCTCCAGTTGGTCAATAGCTTCCAATTTGTGTGCAGAGCTGCGTAGACACTGACAGTTTGACCATTTTAGCCTTGATGCTTTCTTCCATGCCAGCGGTAGGCATCGCCGGAAAATCCGCTTGGCGGCGACGGTGTTATCTCCCAGCCACGACGAAAATGCTCAGTGACCGGCCAACACAACTAAGAACAAACGGACTAAGCATAACAAAGTGGACACAGTCAGTAGATATCAATAGATGTGAGGATGGGCGAGGTGTTTCTTTCCATGCGCTGTGGGCTGGCAGGTGGGATACAGAAATAAGAGCTTGACAGAAATGGGCGCTTGCCTATAGCACCCTCAGGCAAAGATCTAATTGTCGAAGCAGCCACATCGCGCAACAGGCTTCGGGCCAAAGCGCTTCGAAGCATTGATCCAGTTGCATCGAGTCCGATTACCAGACGACTCCTATTTTCAAGTGCCGAGGCCTAGGCACCCAAACAGAAAAGATCAAAAAATCAAGAAAGAGCAACGACATGCGACAGCTAGAAAGAGGCAAAGCAAACAGTCGCCACCGGCAAATGTGATCTAAAATATTCTAAAATCATCTAAACATATCTAAACATCTAAACCATTCCATGGCTGCACACCTTTACAAATAATCAGCCTCACAAGCCAATGAATGGAACCTGGCTCAGCGCCGTCAACAAGAAGCCTGTTGCGGCTGCCACAGTGGCTGCTGCTGCAGTCTCGGCTCCTCGCAGGGGTTAAGCTTCCACCCCGTAAGCCGTCAGCAACATGCGACCTGTGGAAAGGCTGAAGCGTTTGCCCCCTGCCTGCATCGGAGCCTCTCAGCGATACAGGACAAATACAAGTCACTCCACACCCCAACACCCCACATCTCATGCAAACAGAAACGTCAGCCTCGTAAAAAATTGGAAAGCTGGAGAGTTCTTGTCTGTTTTTAGATCGGAATCTGGATGATTCTGGATGGGTCCGATCGGCGCGGCTGGATCAGAATCTACATGGGTTGGATCGGGACAGTATAGATGGCAGCCTTGCAGACTACCCTGACCATCCCAACCATCCCAACCATCCCAACCATCCCGACCATCCCAACAGTCCCAACTGTCTTTGATGCTGATTCTGCGACCCTGATCCTTCCAGACGCTGTTCCGTGGAGCTGATTCGACTCGATAGTTTCTGACCCGGAATTTTCAATTTACTCGTCGTGCGTTCTCCTGCTATCACACAACTGAAGCAGAAGGATCCAGCTACAGATCCCGGCTGTGTGCAAACATACCTAGATCATCCTAGATCATCAAGCAATGCTTGCAACTTGCATCTGTGGCTATGCCATAGCCGCGAGGCCTTCACTGGGCATAGGTCTCAACAATGCCTGCCAGAATTTTCAATGATGCGAAAGTGCTCCAACAGGACTCACATTCTTGCCGTTCAAAACATCCATCAAATGGAACACAAATATGTCTCTTATTGTCTCTTGCATGCAACTCATGGAACCGGCCTGAGACATGTATCTCCATGGATATGGATATATATACTTATACTTACTTGTGCCTATTTTGTCTGTTTCATGGACTTTTGGAACCACCTCTCGCCTCCAACATGCGCGGCAGGGCCAAGTAGTGCACACCATGCCTCCACAGTCCCGCACATTGTTGTTCATCTCCTTTTAGGTCCTCTGATGCTGTGGCTTGTTCTTTTCCTTTTTCCTTCTTTGCCCAGTTTGTGCTTTTCTCGCTCTATTTCTCTCGCTCCCACCCCATCCGTCTTGCCTCAGGGTGTCAATCAGAAGCACCAAAGAAGTATAGCAACGAAAGCTGTGCACCTTGTTGACAAAAAATACAAAAATGTTCCGACGCTTGGCGTCCCAAAGATCCCAAAGGCCGACAACTGCTCTGGGCTATCAACGAGGTCAATGGCTCGCAAAAGCCCAACACACCGCCGGACTATCTGTCCCTAAGCTGAAGCAGAGACCCAGCTGAGCGCTCATCCAATCAGGTGAAGAGAATTGAACCTGCAAACGTGCAAGCAGCTTTTCTCAGTATCTGGCAAACGTTGGGAAAATGCTCGGAGGAGTAGACATGGCCTCGGCTTGTCAGTTCGCGTTCCACAATGATGCATTCTGGCATCATGCTGAATCATACTGCTGCCCACGTGGGCCTGTGATTGTCACTCAGCACAATGAAAGCGGAAGAACTGGGGCTGCAGCATTAGTCCAAAGGTGACAAAGCCACAGCACGAAAAGTCAAATTATATAAATGAAACTGTCATCAACAGTTGATGATCATGGACATCATCAGTGTTCCTGCAGCGGATCCAACACCTCCTCGGGTTTAGCTTTTCCAGTATCTGTGTGTTTGAGTTTGAGCTCAATCAATCGAATCGAATGCAGCGTGCTTGAGCCCAAACTTCAAAAGAGGTATCTGACAGCCCTTCACTATACAGGTACAACCAACAAGGAGTCAGATTTGAGACTCACGATATCTCAAGATTCTCTATGCAGATCTATGCCATATGACTGTTGGAGCGCTGCTTTTCCTGGCGATCTCTTACATCCGCGAGACCTTGATCAAGTTTGAAGTTCCAATTCCTGTGCATCTTGTGAGCCCAAAAAGAGTTCCTGAGCCCACCACAGCCCGTGGCACCCAAACCTGAGATTCATACGATGCTGATAAATTGGATAGGAATGGCCATGACTGATGATGTGTTATGGTGTTATGACGGTCATAATGTGTTTGCTATTTATAAGCACGCGCGTTCCATTATTTTCCGTTGAAACTCCCCCGCATTGGTTCCTGCAATCCTGCCTGGACACTTGGTTTTCACAGTTGCACATTATCTTTCATGCGTTTGCTTGGCTGTCTTTGGCCAGAACTGGATTACGTGAGACTTTGCTTGCGCTTGGAAAAAATGACGCGAACGGGAATCGACAAGCAATCGAAAGGCAAGTCGATCCATGCCAAGACAAGCACGTGTCCGTGCGGCAGCTGTGCACCAAATCAAGTCACTGTTTTGGAATGTTTTGGATTAGTGGTTGTCCCACCTGATGTTTGTCAGCTTTCTGGGAGCACACGCCGCGAAAGGTTTGGGCATAGAAATACATCAGGGATGCCACAAACCAACCTTCTACTGGAAATATTGAGATGGAGTTTTGATGAGCTGAACATAGTTGGATCAAATGCCATCGTCAGCGCCCTTGGCTGCCCATGAATCTTGGCTTTCTTGAGGCTCCTTGGACCTCAGGTGAATCACAGCTGTTGGTCATGTATGTGGCTTGACTTTTTACAAACTATAGTTGTCAAGTGACAAACGTTGTCAGACCTTGTCGTGGAATGTAGCGTCTTCAGGTTGCGAGACAAGGCAACGGAACAAAACAGAACCGTTGCGCGAATTCATAGCCCTTGGAAAGATCAGCAATGAGAGGAGGGATCTGCTGCGACTTGTATAGATGCCTAAGCTTCCAGCGAGTCGCCACCTAGCAATTCAATCAACTTATCTGGGACAAGAGATGAAAGCAACCAAGATGACAAATGCACAAAGCCGGCCGGCACTGCCTCCTATGCCGAAAGCTTGCAAAAATCCACTCCCAGATCTTGAACTCGTAGTGGATCCAGTTGATACAGGACCTCGGCCAGAAGAAGTTTCGTTACGACTTCATGTCCTAATTTCTCCTTTTCCACTTTTCAATGGGCTTAATCTAGTGACACCCTGTCTGCCCGAGACTTCAGCCTAAGTTCTTCGGATTGTCAATTTCGGGTGGCCATAAAAACTCTGTACAGTCCTGTCTTTGCTTCCACCAAGGCATCCATCCTGCCAAAGGCAACATCCCCTTCCAGACATCCGTGCTCTGTGCTGGCTATGAAACTTTTTCGGGTAGTTGCGCATTGCAGCTCCCCAAGTCGTGTCAGATTCTCGCACAGTTGCTCCCGCCTAAGTACGTATGAGTACAAGGGGGTGCCTGTCAGCTTCAATGTACATACATGTATGATTGTATAATGCACATGTTTATTCATATTATCATATTATATATATATATATGTGTGTGTGTGTGTATTTATTTATCTGTTTATCTATTTATTTATCTATTTATTTATTTATTTACTTATTTATTTATTTATGCATTTATTTATGTGTGTATTTATTTATTTATCTATATATTTAAAAATGTTTAAAACATATTTATTTATTTACATACACATGTATGATTATCATGTATATATGAGCCGCAGACGATATTTGGTACATAGCGCGATTGACGAGGTGTTCCTTCCTTGTTCTCCAGTCCGGTAGCTTTTTGGGGTCTGACCTCGTTTTCCAACGCCACACGTGCTTTTAATAGCTAAATGCTTTACATGTGATGATATGTGATGCCTACCTCGCTCTTGGGGTGTTCCTACCTCGTTTTACAGCCTAATTGTGATGTTTTCGACAAATCGGGGAACGCCCAAATACTACTCCCCATTTAACCAAATAAATGCCGTCACTGATGTATAGGTGTGTGTGTGTCATAGCAGAACACTGACAATATTCTCAAATTGGCATACATCAACAGCATCAACAGGAAACTTGCCGCAACTTGCAAATTGCCTCTCCAAACATCATGCAGGCCAAGCGGAGAACGGGGACACACCAATGCAGCTCCACCGAGCTCAAGAGCTCCACAACCAGGTGCATCAAGGGCACATGAGTTTGTAACCAGCAGATGCACGGCTCATCTGTCTGCTGATAGCGGACTTGGAACTTGAAGAACCTAGTCTCCACAAACCTGTCAGAACTCATGAACTTGAGAGATGTCCAGTGAACCAATATGCCATCAAAATGCCAAGAAATCTCCAGAAAACCCCAATGCCCCAACCCGGACGGGTTGCACCTTCAAAACCTAGAGCTCCATTTGTCGATGCCGCCCTTAGACTTTGGCAAAGCACAGTGAGAGCCAGCAACACAATACTTTTCTGATGCCAAGTCTCTTCTGCTCAGGAGCCTTTCATGGGGATTGCATCGGTTTCATTCAATTACCGCACATGGCCAAGGGGCTCTTCAGCTTCACGTTGCGAGTCCTACATTTTCGTCCAAAGCAGGCTGGAAGCAGGCTGGTGTGGCGTAGTGAAATCGAAGATATTTGGCAACTGGCAATACTTAAAATGCAGGTCCTCAACAAGGCTAACTGCCTGCAAATGGGCTGCATGAAGGGCCACCGAAGCCGAGGGGTTGGCAACCAGAATGCCACTGCCTCAACCACAAAGCTGAACTGAGGCGAAATGTTTGTTATATATATAAATGTTTTTTTTGAAAGTCAGAATCTTGCTACCACACAAGCACTCAAGCACACTCAAACACTATCGGACTATCGCTCACTGATCTCACTGGGTTCTGGGCCAGGACCCCAAATCAGCTCTTGCCAGCTGGAGATCATCTCTTGTAGTTCGTGGTATCTTGCTCTGTCCTTCCCGATGGGCCAATGGGGCCAGTTGGAAATGCGAAAACCATGGAAAAACATCACGGAAAACCATCAAAGCCAAGGCCCTCGCACTTTCCAGCAGGGCAGAAGTCACCTTCTTTTGTTGGCCGCTCAGCCTTGCAGATTAAAAAGGTTAATCTCTTGCAGTTGGTTCGTCAATTTGTTTCAGAAATGTTTCAGCACAGCCCGCAAAGCCGTGCCAAATCCGGCCTTTTACGGCCTTGGACCGCATTGGCAGCAACCGCAGCTCGTTGAGTGATCTGTTCCTGATCCATCAAAAGATGAAACATGCAATGTGGCAAACCCAATCATACACCTATAATTTGGGATCGTTTTTACGTGTGTTTACCACCCATGTCTGATGAAATTTGGGATCGTTTATATATGTATATTATATATATATATATATCCGTGTGTTTGTGTGCATGTTGAAATGCATATAGATATAGATATAGATATGATAATATATATATATCAAATAAGTTATAGTATTCTTAAAACACAATAAAATAAAAAAGGAAGAATAGTTTGCCACTTTGCAAACCACTACGACTACAACTGTTACAACTGTAGGGTTGGGTCCATTAGACAACCCCTCGGCCCCCTCCCCCCCTCCCCAATGAAAGCTTCAAAATTGCACCGAGCTTCGGCCACAGACTTGGAGGCTTCGATGGTGGAAAGAAGGACCCGTTGTCTGCATGCGGCCACCAGGCCATTCTCCTTGCAGGCTATCGCATCTATCGCACACCCAGGTCATCCCAGTCTTCCTAAGTCAGAGTCCGGTCCATTGCCGTGTTTACATCTTCAAATCCGTGCTTGATCGTTGCTTCTTCGTTTCATGTTTTTTCTCATTGCCAAACCTCAACAGAACCAGCCTGAGACGTTTCAAGCTGCTCGGCCAGTTCTTTGGAAACCCGAGCCATGCTGTTCTTGAGCTGAGACTCTCCTTACATCACACACTGACTGAGGCACTGCTGTTGCGAAACTGAAACTCATGCTTCAAAGAACATTTGGACCCGCATCGATTTGCAGATCTCTATATGATGTCAAGGGCCCTGATCACCTAGTCATGCAAACCAGTTTGCTCCACGAGGGGACGAGCTGCTGCGATTAAGCTCTGCATCAGCAGATTCCACCTCTTGTATCTCTTCCTGCCCATGGGTGAAGGGGAACCAGAATGAGGCAACGGTCGTTTGAAGACAGCTGCACTGTGACCTTTCACTGACAGAACTCTGACTGTCACTCATAGATTTGTCCAGATTCCGTGGTCGCATGGTCAGAGGGGTCAATCTTGGTGCCGTTGGTGTTGATTTTTGGCATCACGGATCATCATGGTAAGTCCCATCACGAGGCGCCTCCACCAAGCGAAGCTGCACCAGCAGCTCTTCTCTTCGCATGCGCAGGCCATCGGCGCGGCGCGCAGTGAGAGCCCTCTCTCGGTGCAAAGCCTTGGTGGGTCACTGCTTATTGAAGAAGCCTTGGGTTATCGGATAATGCCAAAAAAAAACTGCGCACTTGGAATCCAGATTGTTTACATTACATTACAGTATCTTCTTTTTTTTCTCCTTGAAAGAAGAAATCTAGAGTGCGCGAGTTTGCCGGCCAAGCTGCCTCAAGTTCTCCTGCCATGGCAGCAGTACTAGACCTTGGTTCCCAAATCGACTCAAATGACGAGTCGATCACGTCCCGACAGCAAGGACAGAAGGACGGATAGAATTCCAGCATTGATATGGATTGATTGAGTCTTACAGGGATTTACAGGGCACATCCGGGTGTCAAGCGAGATCTGGTCCTCAAACGTCTTCACTTCCTCCTCACCTTGGGTGCCCAAGTTGCTCCGATGTCCAATGCAACAGCTAAGCACCAGCTATGGAAGCTGGATGAAGCTGGTAAATTTACTCCAGTATTTTTTTCAGTGTTTTTTTTTTGCCGAGCGGCAATCTGCAGCAAAGCTGCCAAGGGTCTCTGCCCGTTCCTCAATCTCAACGCGCCAGGCTGAAATAGTTTCAGCCGCTCCACTGAGGGGCTTTTCCTGACCTTACATCAGTCTTCAGTTGTTCCATACCGGTTCTTGCTGCTTTTGCCGGCATTGAATAACAGAAAAAGATCAGAACACATCAAAAGGGGCTGATCTGAGCACGTCGTTGCAATGTTGCAATTTGATGCGTTTCAAAGGGAATCGCACCTGTTTTCCGCTCGAAAAAAGGCAGGTGGCACTAAGCCTTCTTCTCAGGTCCCATCAAAGACAGTTGTTTGACAAGCAGCGTGGTGGTCTGGCAATGTCTGGCACACCTGGCATGGCCAGTGAAAAGTGCCACTTTCACAACGACCTGCGTAGTTACTGGCTAGTCGGCTAGTCAAGGGCGTAGTACCGGTTTCAGCCATTGGTCAGCCATTGGTCTCTGCAAAACTCCAGGGCTCCAACTTGTCCAGCTCCGGATCTGCATCTTTCAACTCTTCATAGAAGCCCCAGTGTCGCCAATGAGGCCGAATGTCACGTCCAAGTTCAATGGACCAAGTGTGCACGAATGAACTCACTTGTTTGGCATAGTCTCGAGGCACCTCACCTTCTTCAGCATAACGCTTGAATGTCGCTTGAAGTGCCTTCCAACCAAAGGTGGAAATGACCTGGGCATACGTCCGCAGTGCCAGGAAGGGGTCATTGTCCCACTTGGCTCTTGGAGATCCTGATGCGACAAAGTCCATAGGCATCTCCGTGCTGTAGCTGCGGTGCGGTTTCTCCATGGGGTCGCACAACTTCTCAATGCCCCAAAGGGTAAAAAGATTCACAGTGACCTCGACGGTTCCTTTGAATGTCCAAGATTTCCTCTGCATGTTGTGGCCCAGCTCATGGAAAAGACCCCAGCTTCCCTCCTTCTTGAGACGGGCTACATCCAAGACCTTGGGAATGGGGTAGGCTTCACTCGTGTCCAGCACACCCTCGAAGTGTGTCATGACCGGATATCCTGAATGCATGAAGCCCACCGAGATTTCAATGTCTGGGACAATTCGTTGCGGTCTTGGATCAGTGTGAGGGCTCAACTCATGGTAACAAGCCCAAAGCCTGTCATAGAAGTCTAGTGCCCCCACAATATCTGCTCCAGCTTCCATGGCAGTGCGCACTGCATGAACTGGCAGGGTCAGTATCACTTTTCGACCTTCACAGTCTACCCATCCACCGGGGCTTTTGAGATCCACATGGACTCCTTTCTCAATGCTTACGGCAGGCTGCTGCACCAAGTTCCCAGAGAAGGTCGCCTTCAAATCCTTCGACGCCTTGCTGCAACGCACCAGGTAGACGTTGCCACCGAAGGGGGTGTACATAGATATCTGTGATGAGCCGGTCAGAGGCACAAGGGAGCTAACTCGTGGCCATCGCTGCCAAACATCTCTACCACTGATATCATCAGTATGTGCACCGATCCTCACTGACCAACCCTTTATGTCGCCACCAGAACTAACGCAAATTTTGCCGCCAGGTGGCACATACAGGCCAGTCCCCAACCATTCTGGACCATGGTCTTTGGAAGGCCAAAGCAACCGCGACTCCACCTCCACAGATGTCTCCTCCAGCGAAGGCATCTTCCCTGTCGGAAACGCCTGCCAGCCCAAACCCGTGATACCTTTTGACTTTTGACTCAGGCTGCCACCCTGCAACTCAGTCTCGCAGAAGAGACGAGCTTGGAGTCGGCCCAAAGCATCGCTCTGTTTGATGGGAAATTTTGGAGCTTCGCCGGCCAAGACTTGCACCATGAGTGCCCATCGGAGGCGCTCATTCCCCTGAGCAAGGCCGACCAAAAGGCCTGAATTTCTTTCGATCATGTCCAGGGCATTCTTCCCTAAAGAGCGTGATGTGTCATTGGCCAAGCTTTCCAGGAGACTTGTCAAATCTTCAACCCAGGCCATATCACTGACTACATGTAGCTCCTTCGGGGTTGCACCCGCATTGGCACACCAAAGGCCAATGGATGTGATCGGTGTTGCTTTTTCAAACTCCAAAGCCAAGAAATGCTCCTGCCCAGTAGTCGCCCACCAACCACCTGTCTTGGTCACATTCTCTGAATTGCTCGAATCTGCTGCCACGATTTGATACTTGATCTCAGTCTCCTCGTGAAAGATTCGCAAGCGGTTGACCCCAATATAATGGCTGTTGTGGATGCCCCTGAACTTCAGCAGCAAGTTTTTGATGGCATATGTGTTGCACGAGTCTTTGATGTCAAAGAAGTGACATTCGTCCTCGCTCTTGCCACACCCCGCATCCACCTTGTGAACCACAGGGTCTTTTTGCTCAATCTGAAGGTCAACATCATTTGGTTCCTCAGCAAAGCAAAGGTCAGGAAAGTGTGGCCGAGCATCAGAAATCTCAATCTCCAATGGTGTTGCCCCCACATTGGCGCACCACAGGCCGATATGCGAAACACATGCAGGGTCCTCCAGCTGCAAGAGCAGTGAGTGCTCCTTTCCAACCACAGCCCACCAACCTGCTGCAACAACACTTTCCGCAGCAGCTGCTGCTTCTTTGGAGCCATCTGCCATAAGCACTTTGAACGGATGGTCAGTCTCGCCTGAGAAAAACCGCAGGCGGTTTATTCCAATGTAATGGCTATCATGTATACCTCGGAAGCGCAGGTATATGAAGCGCAAAGGTTCATGGAAGTTGGTGCTAAACCGGTGACATTCGTCATCTCCACGCCCACATGGCGAGGGCACGTCATGCTTCGCAGAACCTGCCCCTGCTTCTGACATGTTTGAGGAATTTAAAAAAAGGCTGCAAGGTGTATCAAAGGCAATGAGTCCGGCAAACATCAACATGACAAAAGCATCACACTCCATGCCGCGCTGAAGTTTAGGCTGAACGGGCATATGACTCGCAAGAGTTGCTTTAAAAAAACACCCAGGCCCATGATGTTGCCTGATCATTGGGGTTTGTTGTTGTCTCTACCCTCAGAGCCGATTGTTTTTTTACGATGCTTGGCCGTTGTCTGGGCTCCGCACTGAGTTCCTCAGAATGCCCCTCCGACTCCTCGGCTCCCAAAATGAGGACAGCGCAAAAATCTCCGGTCTGACCACCTGGCCTCCTCTTGTCTTAGTCATCACCGTAATTAGACGCATATAATTCGTAATTATGATTGTTGCGCATGTCTGGGCTCTGTTTACGCTCTCCATATCCGTACAACGGCTCATCGTCTTGCAAACGAGCAACACTATCGGACTGACACCGTACGCACAGAGTTCCAATTCCAGCTTTGCTCTCAAACACCCAGCCCCGGCCATCTGCGAGCTTCAGGTAGAGGGTGCCATCAGCGCCCTCAAACGTCTCAGAGACCCGAAAAACCTCTCCAGCTATAAGGCGCTCATGAGTCCTGTGCAAGCGAAGAAAACCAGTTCATCAAAACTCTGCGACTGAAAAGATCTGAAAAGATCTTGGCCAATCAATTCCTGCTTCATACCGCGCTATAATTTGAACGCCATCAAACCATCCACTAACCTTGAGAACAGCAGTCATTGCTTTATATAGTCTTGCAGTGACCCAGCCTGCTGCCAGCAATTGCAGGAACTGACCGAATGTCTATATGGCAGCCATCATCTGGCACGTAGCGCCAGACTGATGGTTCTTCTTCCTCTTTGGCGTCTGCATCGCCAGAAACAGTGTTGGCCCAGTCCAGATGAAAGTCCAACTGCTTTCCTGCACGGACTTCAGAAAGAGAAATCGAAACATATTGCAGGACTTGGATATACTTAGATATTTACAGACGAAACCCGCTCCCTTGAGATATGAAGGCATGTTCTGCATTTTCTCCGTGCTGTCTGCACGTCTGCGCCTATGCACCGCAGCTCTTGGAAATTCCTGCCGTGAGTTTCGACCTTCTGCAGGGCCTGTGCCCACACATTCTCTGGAGGCACCTCCAGGTGCGTCATGGCTGAGCAGAGGCACAACAAATGAGGCACATATAACGTGTACGTGCATATCTATTGCATGTAAACATAGCATGTATAATATCTGTGTGTGTGTCCGTGTGTGTCTGTGCGTTTATTAGTTTAGATACCGTATATAGATACGGTAGAGATCACCGAGGCCCTTGATTGTGGCATGAAGGGACCATTCAGAAGGCAAGGGCAAAGCATCCATAAAGTCCGTGCAAGGCTGCCTGTGCCAAAACGGCTGGAGGCCGCCGAATACTTGCATCGACGCGCATCACAGAAGAGCTGCTCAATTCGTTGAAGAGCTCGGCATCAACATCAGAAATCTCCACCTGAGTGCATGGCCAAAAAGTGATTCCATGCGGCTCCTGTTTCTTCCAGTGTGCCTAGTCTCACCCAAAACAAGGTGGGCCAGAGAACCCAAAAGCAAAACGGCACACAGCACGCCTTTTTTACAAAATCTTGTGGCGTGGGCAGCTGCGCTCTGCACGAAATCGACGTAAGAGCTTTACTGAAACATTGTGCTCACTGATGGTATCAGGGGCCACAATTCACCACAGCATGCTGTGCCAGCTACGTCTACATTCTTCTAGCCGCTATTTCTGCTAATGTAATTAACTCTATCCCATCTTTCTGGTCGCTATTTATTCTTGGGTTCTAGTCTAGTTTGCTTCGCCGCAGAGGGAGCGAGGACGAAGCGTGGACGGACAGAACACCGTGCGAAATGAAAACTAGACGTCGGAGGGAGTGCATGAAAAGGAAGATATGAAAATGACAGATGGTGAATGGTCATGAAAATGAGACATGATGAAAGATGGGTGAAGACTTCTCTGTACAAAAACTTCTATGCGTAAAAGCTACTGTGTGTAAACGCGTCTGTGCGTACAAGTTTCGTGTAAAAGTTCCTTTGTGTAAAGGTTTTTTGTGAAAAAAAATGTGTGTAAAAGCTTCTGTGTGTAAAAGTTTCTGTGTGTAAAAGTTTCTTTGCGTAAAAGCTTCTGTATGCAAAAGCTTCCGTGGGTAAAAACTTCTCTGTGTAAAGGTTTTGTTGTGTAAAACTTCTGTGTGTAAAAGCTTCTGTATAAAACAATCTCTGCGTGTAAAGGTTTCTGATTGTGAAAGTTTCTTTGCGTACCAGCTTCTGTGTGTAAAAGCTCCTCTGTAATAAGGTTTTTTTGTGTAAAAGCTTCTGTGTAAAAGCTCCTCTGTGTAAAGACTTCTCTGTGTCAAAGCCTCTGGGTGTACAAGCTTCTCTGTGTAAAAGCTCCTCTATGAAAAAGTTGCTCTGTGTAAAGGGCTTCTCTGTGTAAAAGCCTCTGTGTGTGTGCAAGCTTCTCTGTGTCAAGGCTTCTTTGTGTAAAGATTTCTGTGTAAAAACTACTCTGTGTACATAAAAGCTTCTGTGCGCAAAAGCTTCCCTGTGTAAACGCCTCTGTGTGTAAAGACTCCTCTGTGTAAACCCGTCTGTGTGTGTAAAAGCTCCTCTGTGTAAAGGCTTTTTTTGTGTAAAAGCTTCTGTGTGTAAAAGTTTCTGTGTGTAAAAGCTTGAAGCCTTTACACAGAGGAGCTTTTGCACACAGAAGCCTTTTACGCACAGAACCTGTTGCACAGAGTAGCTTTTACACAGAGAAGTCATACACAGAGAAGCTTTTACGCGTTTACACAGAGAAGCCTTTACACAGAGGAGCTTTTACGCACAGACGCGTTTTACACAGAGAAGCCTTTACACAGAGGAGCGTTTGCACACGGAAGTCTTTTACGCACAGAACTTTTGCACAAACTAGCTTTTACACAGAGAAGCTTTTACGCACAGACGCGTTTACACAGAGAAGCCTTTACACAGAGGAGCTTTTACGCACAGACGCGTTTACACAGAGAAGCCTTTACACAGAAGAGCTTTTACGCACAGACGCGTTTACACAGAGGTCTTTACACAGAGGAGCTTTTGCAAACAGAATCTTGTACACACAGACGCGTTCACACACAGAAGGTTTTACAAACAAACAGCTGTACGGCGCACAGAACTTTTAGATAGAGCAGCTTCTACGCAGCGGAGCTTGTACACACAGGGGAGCTTTTATACACAGAAGGTTTTACACCAAAGTTTTTTTATACACAGAAGCCTTTACTCTGTGTAAAGGCTTCTCTGTGTAAAAAATCTTTGCATAAAAGCTCCTCTGTGTAAGACTTCTCGGTGAAAAAAGTTTCTCTGTGTAAAAGCTTCTGTGTGTAAAAGTTTCTGTGTGTAAAAGCTTTCCTGTGTAAAAGCTTCTGTGTGCAAAAGCTGCTCTGTGTAAAAGTTTCTGTGCGCCGTAAAGCCTCCATTTGTAAAACCTTCCGTGTGTAAACGTGTCTGTGTGTAAAAGCTTATCTCCTTTGTGTAAGGACTTCTCTGTGTAAAAGCTCCTCTGTGTCAAGACTTCTCTGTATAAAAGGCTTCTCTCTATATATAAAAGCCTCTGTGTGTACAGGCTTCTCTGTGTCGAGACTTCTCTGTGTAAAGACTTCTCTGTGTAAACAAAAGCTACTCTATGCAAGAAAAGCTTCTGTGCGCAAAGGCTTCTGTGTGTAAACGCGTCCTTGTGTCAAGACTCCTCTGTGTAAACGTGTCTGTGTGTCAAAGTTTCTGTGTAAAAGTTTCCGTGCGAAGGCTTTGTGTAAAAAAAACTTCTGTGTTTAAAAGCTTCTGTGTGTAAGAGCTTTTCTGTGCGTAAATGTTTTTTGTGTGCAAAAACTTTGTGTGCAAAAACTCCTCTTGTGTAAAGACTTATCTGTGCAAACCCGTCTGTGCGTAAAAGCTCCTCTGTGCAAGACTTCTCGGTGAAAAAAGTTTCTCTGTGTAAAAGCTTCTGTGTAAAAGTTTCTGTGTGCAAAAGCTTCCTGGTGCAAAAGCCTCTGTGTGTAAAAACTGTGTAACGGTTTTTTTGTGTAAAAGCTTCTGTGTGTAAAAGCTTCTCTGTGTAAAAGTTTCAGTGCCCCGTAAACGCTTCTGTGTGTAAAACTTCCTGTGTCTAAACGCATCTGTGTGTAAAAGTTTCTGTGCGTAAATCTCCTGTGTAAGAAGGACTTCTCTGTGGAAAAGCTCCTCTGTGTAAACACTTCTCTGTGTAAAAGACTTCTCTCTGTAAAAGCCTCTGTGCGTACAAGCTTGTCTCTGTCAAAGATTTCTCTGTGTAAAGACAGACTTCTCTGTGTAAAAGCTACTCTGCGTAAAAGCTTCTGCGCGTGGAGGCTTCTGTGTGTAAACGCATCCGTGTGTAAACATTCCTGTGTCAACGCCTCTGTGTGTAAAAGCTTCTGTGCGTAAAAGTTTATGTGTAACCGCTTTTGTGTAAAAACTTCTGTGTGTACGAGCTTCTCTGTGTAAAGGCTTTCCTGTGTAAAAGCTTCTGTGTGTAAAAGCTTCTGTATGTAAAGCTCCTCTGTGTGTAAACGTTTCTGTGTGTAAAAGCTGCTCTGTGTAAAAAAATTCTTTGTGTAAAGAGTCTGTGTGTAAATGTTCCTCTGTGTGTGTACAAGCTTCTCTGTGTAAACGCTCCTCTGTGTAAAGACTTCTCTGTGTCAAAGCCTCTGGGTGTACAAGCTTCTCTGTGTAAAAGCTCCTCTATGAAAAAGTTGCTCTGTGTAAAGGGCTTCTCTGTGTAAAAGCCTCTGTGTGTGTGCAAGCTTCTCTGTGTCAAGACTACTCGGTATAGAGACTTCTCTGTGTAAAGGCTTCTGTGTGTAAAACCTTTCCTGTGGAAAAGTTTCTCTGTAAAAGACTCTGTGTAAAGTCCTCCCTTGCTTCTCTGTGTAAAAGATCCTCCGTGTAAAGCTCCTCTGTGTGAAGCTCCTCTGTGTAAAAGCTGCCCTGTGTAAAACCCGTGCCAACAGCTCCGCGTTTTCAGTGCCACTCCCTCCCAGCAGAGCTCTTCCCAAGCTATTTCCATACCTGTCCGTTCACGCTGCTGCATTTCTTATGCTTAGGTTCTCGTTTAATTTGCTTTGCTGCAAAGGGAACGCCGTGCAAAATGAAAACCCCTCCAGCAAAGAACTTTTTCCCATGCATGTCCGGCATGTCCCTTTGCCCAGCGTTTAGACACCGTTTGGGAAGTCTTTGGCACCAGTTTTTCGGGACAATCGCGTTGATGGAATTTGTCCTGAAACCCCGGTCGCTTCTGTCTCGCTCATCCCTCCCAACGGAGCTCTCCCCAAGCTGTTTCCCACGGTTTCCCGTGCATCCCTGTCGTCGCTTCCATCTCGCTCCCTCCCAACGGAGCTCTCCCAAAGCTGTTTCCCACGGTTTCCCGTCCATCCCTGTTGTCGCTCCCTCCCAACGGAGCCCTCCCCAAAAGCTATTTCCCGCGGTTTCCCGTCCGTCCACCCTGTCGTCGCTTCCGTCTCGCCCCCTCCCAACAGAGCTCTCCCCAAGCTATTTCCCACGGTTTCCCGTCCGTCCATCCTGTCGTCGCTTCCATCTCGTTCCCTCCCAACGGAGGTCTCCCGAAGCTATTTCCCACGGTTTCCCGTCCGTCCACCCTGTCGTCGCTTCCGTATCGCTCCGCCCGCGGCAAAGTAAACTAAACGAGAACCCAAGAATCGGAGATGCTTTCGGGAAAAATATATACAGTACCACTATAGGTAGTAGCACAATGCATGACAAATCATTATACTATATGATGATATATGTGGAATTTATACATTCAAAGGCTTGGCACCAAATTGACATCAGAAACACCAGCGCGTTGACAAGGAACGCAAGGAACGCATTCGTGTCCTTCTTGTCCTTCCTCCTTGCAGCACCAGGATACCCGCACGCGGTCCCGAGGTGCGAAGCCTCGAACTTTGGCACGATACCAGTGGCCATCTACAGGCCAGCAAGCCCAAACGTTGCTACCTCAAATTGACAGAATGCCTCATTAATTCATCACGCATTCCAAAAGAAAGCGTTTGGAGTTTTGACGGAAAAAGGACAAGGATACTAATGACCGAGAAAGATTGAAGCATTTTTAAACTGAATTTTTCTTTGCTTGAGCAACTTGGTCCCATCCTTCTTGCATCTTCTTGCATTGGCGAGGCACCTATGTCTGGCCGACCACCACCGGCAAACGGCGCAGCTTTGCTGGTCGCGAGATGTTGTGGCGTACTGGACTTATCACAAAGCTCAGAAGCCTTCAAGCACCAAGATTGACCCTGTGGCTACGAAAGTGCGGAATATGTGGACATAGCATGACATAGCATGACATGGCGATGTGCTTGTGTCTATACATGGGTGTACAGCGGACATTATATGAAAAGTATTATCAAAAATTATATAGTTACATACAATGATGTTATACAGTACTGGATATCGATAGCAAGGTCCCGTCTCGATTTCAGGGGAGCAAACCCCGAAAAACAGGCCTTGGAAAAGTTGTCCAACGCTGACCGCAAAGCTTCGCTCAAACGTTGCGAGGCCAAGGCATCAGCCTCGCTTTTCCTGACCACCCCGAGCTGCCCCTGAACAAACTTGGAACTGATCTCATGAAGTGCTGCAAACAGTGGAGAGAAAGCATCTTGTAGGAGCCGCATCACCGCCATAGCAGTCAAGAGGTCATAATCTTCATCATCATTGAAATTTGGGTGTCGTTGGGAAAATGGAGCTTGGTTGATGTGAGCACTAGCCAGTTGCTGCTAAGCTGCTCTGCCAGAGTAGCCAAAACCAGGTTCACAACCCAGCCCACGTCCTTTGAAGCCACTTTTGGGAGCAGCTCTGATTGCTCATGCTGATCATGCTGAATCTACACCGTAAGTCACTGTTGTGGAAGGTCTCTCTTAGCACCCAACGCCGCCCCCAGGCAACTGGTCACGAACCCCCTTTTTTTGCCTTTTTTTAGGGTTTGGGGGGGATGTTAACGTCCCTGTGAACTTGCTCACGTCATGTATGCTTCGTGAACTTCGGAGTTTGGGTGGGGTGGGGGGGATGTTAACGTCCCTGTGAACTTGCTCACGTCATGTATGCTTCGTGAACTTCGGGGTGTGGGTCAGGTGGGGGGGATGTTAACGTCCCTATGAACTTGCTCACGTCATGTATGCTCCGAGAACTTCGGGGTTTGGGTGGGGTGGGGGGGGGATGTTAACGTCCCTGTGAACTTGCTCACGTCATGTATGCTTCGTGAACTTTGGGGTTGCCTGGGTTTTCTATATATATACAATATTACACAATGAAAATCACATTTAGATACATATATATATGTATGTATATGTATATGTATATATATATGTATGTATACTTCTATATATATATATAAATATGTGTGTGTGCAGGCATATACATTTATTTTCACTATTATATACATACAAATGTCACATGTACATAACTTCTTGGTTATATTTATGCACATAAATATATGTCTCACTTGCGTACACATAAATAAATATATATATATAACATGTATATTTATATACATAATCTATATATATTATACATATACTTATGTTTAGACAACTGAAATTAACTTGTCGGGGAATGTTCCATTGCACTTTCTCAAACAATTGGCCAAAGCTTGCACCGCTCGCTGATAATGGCGCAAGAACAAAAGAGCACAAGGCGCAAAGAACAAAAGGGACCCAAAAACACCAGTTGCCCAAGGGCGGCGCGACCTCTTAGCATGCTGGGTCTACGTCCACTGGGCCCCCACATCCACCAACACACATTGATATCATTGATGTAACGACATCTTATGGCTTGCAATGGCACGCCCAGGTCACGCCTCCTCTGCGGGGTTCTTTTCCTCAGACAAAGCTCCTCCGCATCGATCAGCTGCCTCTGCTGCTTCCGCCAGCAAGGTGAGCAGTTGCGCGATCAAAGCCTTCAATCGTCATCAAGAGCTGAAGACATGGAGGACTAGGATGAGGATGGATGAGGTCCTGTGACAGTCCTGTGACTCAACCCTGCCCAGGGGACCCACCTGTGAAATCGAGTATTTTCATGTCGTTTCAAGCGGCCTCAGGAGCTTCTGATGCTCGCAACATCAAATGCGCAAGCTGCTCTCCGACAACAGCTTCAGAAGGAACGTGGTTTGAGTCGATGGGTTTGCTCTCCAACACCTGCGGAAGGAGTCCTCCCCAGTCTTTTACTGTCTCTTGTCATCCTTGGCTTGCATCGATTTTTCTTTCCATGATTTTTCATGCAAATACCACCTTGAACCCTGTCAAGTCATACAATACAATTCAAAAACATGCCCCATTGTTTGAGTATGGTTTAGTTGTATCTCCAGCGGGTAGCCGCAGTACAGCGACAGCTACAGAGGTACCTATAATTAATAATAACAGCAAATTTTGGCAAAATGCTGGAGCTGCCGCAAGAAAATTTAAAGCCAGTGCCTCTGCTGTGCTTGAAGCTCGACGTCGAGGGGATCCATCAGCCTGCTCAGCTGCAACTGCTGCTGCACGGCCCAGGAGTGGACGGCGGCGCCCACCTGCCAATGTATTCTCTTGGCATGTCATCGGGAGGGGCTGGAGGCAGAATGTATTAGAATGATTAAAGTTGATTTAAGTTGATTAAAGTAAGGCGGCAAGCAATGTGCTTGATGTGAATTCCACGGTAGAGGACTGGGGCTCACTGGCACTGACTGGCATGGACTCTGGCCTGAGGTCAAGGTGCGCAGAACCGTGTGCAAACATTCTGTATGCAAAAGACCACGTAGCCCCGGAGCTGCAAGTCGCTGTCCTTCACTGTCCTAGGGACCGTCTCAGAGGAATGGCTTTGCTTACTCCAAAAGATCTGAACAATTTGTTGGAAGTTCTTGGACTGGTCATCCAAAAAAGACCAGCTATCAATAGCTATCAAGGTCAGCCTCTAGCCAAGATAGCCAAGTATCATAGTCACTCTGCAGCCGTTGATTCCACACCGACAAAGTTTGAGCAGCTGTGGCGGCTGTTTGTGTGTCTCCGTCACCTTCGATGAAGCCTCAATGATCTCAATGTAGCGGAAGACCAAGGAAGGAACAAAAGTTAGGGGAACACAAACTTAAGATACCTGGTTCAGAAGCTGTGCTCCAAATGACATACCAACGGACCAGCTGGTCATTCAGCTGAGGGCTTCACTGCTCGTGAAGGAGTCTAATTCGCTGGCGTACAAGTTGATCAAATCGCTGGACTGCAAATCCGCAGCCGCCTTGGTGGAAAATACTAAGTTGCAAGCTGAACTGCTCAGGCCGACGACAGAAAGCTTTGAGCAAACCACCAATCAGTGTCCAAACAAACCTTTCAAAGGCACTTATATGATCTTATATGTACTTATTACATGATTATTGCCAGTGGTCAAATCCTTGCCTCAAATGATGAAGAAATATGAGAGGTCAGCCTGTTCCCTTCTGCCCTTCTGCTTTAGAGAAGGTGCTCGATGACCCCACCCTCCAATTGAAGCTGCAAAGCTGCCCCGAACGCTTTGCAGGCCTCCGAAGTGACACCAAGAAACACCGACAGAACAAATCTATACAAATCTACCAAAAGCACACGAGAGCACGTGTGTTCAACACGACCGCAATGTGGACTATGCCAACATGAAGCTGGCAATTTTTGGATGTGTCACATCAGAGAGGCCTCGAAACTCTCAATTTGTCGATTGATTCTGAGACTCGGCCTTTCAATCCCACCCTACTATATCATCTATCATCATCTATCATCTATCCATGTTCGCTTTTGTTCGCGATTGTCTGTAAACGGTCTGGGTGCCGCTGACCCTCGTGCCTTCATCAGCCTCGCTCGCGAGACGCTGCACTGATTGCTGGACCTCAAATGTCACCAAGTATACAATGTTGAAAACGATTGATGGTACAGCTGCTGAATAGTCATGAGGTCACAAATGGCGACAAATGGCCAGCGATGATCAGCAAAGCTTATTGGCTTATTATGAAATCAGTCAAAGAATCTCAAAATCCTTGGCTTCGGCTTTGTCCAAGACTTCGGAGCGCGGGACATGAACATGAGAGCCCCCGTACCCCACCTGTTCTGCTGCGCTCTCCGCGCTGGCACGAAGCACCGCTTGCCCATGCTCAAAGAGAGCTCCCAGGCCTAAAGTACAGCAAAAAGCCCTTGGAATGATGTCAGCCTACGGCCAACCCAGCAAACACAAGCAGAAACCACAAACCGCAAATTCTTGTCAATTTTCTTGAAGCCACAAAGAATTGGAGTGACATTGATTCCTGCTGCTTCCCAAACTACAAAGTCACACATACAGGTCCAGAAACTGCAGCTTCTCAAAATATGTCACAACTGCATTGTTCTCAATGTCGAACAGGTAGAATGGCATTGGTCGAAAATTATATGTTTAGAGCATGCACCAGCTACACAAGTGTCAAGCATATCACGAAGCACTGAAGCACTGAAGCACTGAAGCAGCTGCCCAGCGGCCCACATCATCGATTTTCAGTTTTTCTTCACCCTTGCTGGTCAGCTGTTCAAGCTGCCTTCTTATTTCCTGCAACCGTTGAGCAAAGCTATGCAGAGAATCCGGATAGCTCTGCTGTGAACCGTTGGCAAGTCCTCTGCAGAGGTTGTGAGCCATGACGTCATGGCTGGTTGCGCAGAGCGCAGGCCAAGGGCCTAAAAAGAAAGCTTCTCTGAGCCAAAAAATGGCAATGGGATGCGAAAAGCCGTCGACTCTGATCAAAGTCAAAGCTTTTCATGGCTCACTATCTTGAGGGCTAGATCCTGTGATGTATGCAACTACTTGCCCTGCAATAAAGCTTCCCAATCCTTCCAAGCATTCTTGAAAGATGCACACCTCTCCTTGCATTGCAGGGCACCGACAGCCTGAGGTTGTGAGCTGGCACCTTGGGCCCTGACAAAATGTTCTCCGTCTCTTTGAATGCAGTCCTCCTTGTGCAAAAAGTCCAGGACATGCTGCGAGGGGCCGACAAAGTAATTACTGCACCATAATCATGAAACCAAAAGCAAATGCTTTGATCATGAAACGAGAGACAGGGAATGTCGCTATTCTGATGCCAGGACTGTAGATTCAGACACTTCCCTTTTTGCCACACTTTGCAGATCTTCAAAGACGTCGGCCCTTTGTTTTTCAAGGAGATCGGGACAAACAGCAGGGCTTCAAAGTTTCAGAGGGTCGTCAGGGACTACTTTCGCATTGTGGGCATCGATGGCTCTCGCTTCAGCCCAAGGACTTCCGGACCTCGTCCTAATACGAAAGCTCCTTGAGCTCGCACGGCTAGCATTCGAAGAAGCCCCTCATCTTCATATCTCATGGTGCACGTTTCAATCGTTTTTTCACTTTCACTATCTTCTTTCGCTTTTGCGCTTGCACAGCTGGCTGATCTGCCTTTGCTTTGGCAGGACGAACTTTGGCCCTTTTGGTCTTTTTGGCCTTTTCCTTCTTCAAATGAGATGGGCTCGCAGCTTGAGATGGGCTCGCTTCGCTTGTCAGGGTCTTGTTTGCAGTCTTGAGTAGCTGCAGCTTCTCGGCCTTTACCTGTGTCGAAGATGTCTCTTGAAAGTGAAATATGTGAAACTTAATAAATGAAGCCAGTTGATCTATGCCATCTAATGCCATCGTCTATCTCACCCTGCCTGGTTTTTGGTGGTTTTGGCCTTTTGCTGCCCATGTGCTCCGTGACCTCGACCGCGCCCTCTCAAAGATTGAATCTCCTGACCATGACAAGTGGCAGTAGGGAAGCAACGCAGAGGTGCGTTGCCGGGGTCTGGAAGTCCTCCCTGTGACTTACACGGTGCATATTGCAAAAACATCATGCCATATGCATATATATATATATGTATATGCGTGTCTTGCATCTATAAACAAAAACTATGTGTAGATATGAAGAAGGAATATCCTATCGCACATGATCATACATGCAACTGTATACTATAGATTGATACTGTGTTATCTATGTACAGGATAAATAATTTGTATACTTGCATATCATGTCATATTGTGCATTCCAAGTTCCGTCACATACGGTGGGTCAAATAAAACATGGATGATAAAGGCTTTAAAATGTTGTACCATATGTATGTATATATATATATGTGTGTGTGTATGTGTGTATATATCTATTATTTCTATCTATATATATATATACTAGATATATTAGGCACTTGAGAGCAGGCGGAGGCGGACGAAAGGTAGTGTAGTGGGAGAGGAGTGGTGTCAAAATGCTGCGCCCCTAAGATGATACACCAAAAACGTTTTTGCGCAGTCTAAGATGATTTTATCCAGAGCATGACTGCATGATACGGTGTCTTGTGCAGCGTGAAATGATGCACGAAAAGGGGTTTATTTAAAACCCCTTTTTAAGACCCCTTGCAGCAACTGTTATTGAGGCTGAAGCATACCAATTATGCTGGACTACAGGGACATCTCCCTCATGGAAAGTGTGCCTCTAATGTGGGGGCCCGTGACCGCGTCACCCGTGGGAATTGAACCCATGACCATTTTCGGGGGGGGGGGGCCCCCCCCTTATAATTGATATCCAATACATAACGGCGAGAATTCCATGAATTCCGTGGGCTGGCCCCCCAATACCCCCTAAGCTTGTGCTGAAGCACGGAGAACTCAGGTAGCTGACGCTACCTTTCGTGATTATTACACTACATAAGATTCGTAGTGTTGTGAACACCATATTTCATCATATTTCATATGATGTGATATACGGGCATATCATATCGTTGTACCTGTGTGTATGTGCTATATCACATGACAGTACCATCTCTCTCTATGTGTTTCTCGCACCTTTGCATGGGTGTGTGTGTGCGTGTGTGCGTTTGGGAATGGGAGAGCAAAAGCTCGTAAACTGTATTTCCATGTATTTCCAACGTTCCATGCCTCAATGTCACTCGTAAGATCCTAAATTACAGTAACCTAACTAATTACACAGTACAGGGAAGATGCCTGTACTGTAGCAACATGCGAAACATTCCAAAACCCGCATTCCACAGAACCTGACAAAACTTGGCATCCAGCTGACAGCGAGACCTGTCTCCCAGACTTCCAGGCCTCGGTCTCAGACACTGCCATCCCCCGGCCGCGCCCAGCTCCACGACCACGGCCTAGACCAGCTTTATGACCACGGCCATTGTTTGCCTCATGTCGATCATGTCGATCATGTCGATCATGTCGATCATGTCGATCATGTCCTGCTTTCAATTTTTTGGGCTTCTGTGGCTTTGCGAAGCCTTGACGCTTTCCATTCACAATCTCCAGCCTTGGCCTGAGAGTCATTCCCACGATAAAACAGTTCCGATGTCCACAACTACAGGGGATACAAAGATACAAAGTCTTGTCCAAGTAACAACGTGGAAAGAATGTCCCACATCTCTTTCGGCATCTCTTCATCTCCTGCCCGTGATGTTGTTTTCGCTCTACTGACTGGCACATGCCAGGATAAGTGCAACTGCAAGTTCTCCTGAAGCGGGATTGCCTCTTACATTCAAATTTGAAAGCCACAAGAGTCCTGCCCATGACACCGTCATATCCAAAAGTTGGTTTTGCACTAAAATAGTGCAAGCAGAACAGCTTGAAGCTTCTGCATATGGAGAGAGGGCCAGCAGACCACTCTTCTAAGTCCTGTCCTTTTAGTGTCTCAAAGCCTACCAGCTGATTGATAAGATTCTTCCCAACATCCAGTGTAGTCAGGTGTGGCAAGGTGGTCACCTCAGCTTTGGATCAGGCGCTAGCCTGAGCCTCTTGAAAAGCATGCCACTCCAATCGCATTTCGCAGCCAAAGCCAGCAAGTCGGAAAAATAAAGAAAGGATATGTCCCTCTTCAAGTGACCAGGCTGGGAATGGTAGTAATTTGATTCCCATTTAGTCGCAGCTCAGCCAGTGCAGGGAGCTTCTGTAGACTTGGGAAAGAATGCAGGCGATTATTGGCCAGAGAGACCTTCTTCAGGTTCTTAAAGCCTGCCGAGTCGAGAATGATAAATGGATATTGAAATGATATTGAGGCATATCTGAAGAGACCAAGCTCTTTCCCTCAGCATGAAATGATTGAATAATTATTGGCATGTCCTGGTCCTGACACCCGCCTGCCAAGGAGACTGATTGCAGCTGATTGTGTGACAATACGATGGTCTCCAGCAACGGGTTCTTCTTGGGACTGATTCCATCCAGCAACGTGATCCGATTCCGCGCAGCGATAAGGGCTTTCAAACCTTGGAGGTGTTGAAGGCCATCCAGCCTGAGCAAGAGGAATTCCATGAAATTCCTATCCTTATCCAACACCCATGCGGCCCATGCGAATGCAACAGCACGAATTGACAATTTCGGGCATGTCTTGGCATGTCGTAGCATTGCACCTTGCAACCTTGTTGTCGCTGAAGTCCAGCACTGCAAGAGAGGACAAATTCTGCAAGTGCGTGAGTCTTCGCAGTCTATTCTTGGCCAGCCCCAGCCAGCAAAGGCTGTGATTCATCTCAAGCCAGCCTCTTTGCACCAACTCAACTCCAATTCCAAGTTCCACAGAATCTATGCACATGCTGGAAACAAAAGAGCAAACTCATTCAGGCAAGGAACCGAGTGATGCAATGTGATTGCCCTTCAGCTCCAACTTTTTCAAGTTCTTGAAGGGCTCCAGGCTATCCAAGGATGTCAGCCCCCTGTCTTGTAGCAATAGCTCCTGGGTTGCGCCGAAACAGTCTCTGCAACGTAACATAGCTTTCAAATGACCTCAGTGCTACTCCCTTCCAGCCTGTAGTACTCATTGGCACCCGGCCCTACCTACTATATAGTAACACGTTTCCACTAAGCTTAGCAGCTGATGCGGCTGCGCTCAAATTCTCAACATAACAAAATGCCTGCCCATTCACCGGACTGTTTTCCAGTAGGAGCAGGGCAACCCTTGAGTACCTCTCCCCCAGGCATTTGGGCTAAGGCACAGAGGCAGCTTGAGCATCCCCATTTGGCACTTCAGTAAGCCTCATCGCTCGTGACATCACAGGTGGCCGTTTGGTCATTGGTGTGCCATCTTTGGCTATGCCTTCTTGTTGCCCTAAATGCTCTTTAGTCTGTGGCGGCGAAAGGAGGGCTTGTTATAGGATGTGCACAACCAGTCCAGAATACATGCTGTAATGACAGTAATGGTCAGTAGTCTGAAGATGTCTGAAGCATGTGCAGCTTTGACTGACTGCCAGCAAGCTTCGCATCAGTGAATCGCAGACAATGTGCCTGCTTGTCTGAGAAAATCTCTGGAATTGCAGTGTGAGCTCTCAACAAATGTCTGGGAGGAATCGTTGTCTCAAAAGAATATGTTCATGCCTTCACCTCATCTTCGTCAGAACCATCTGACTCCATCGGTAGCTTCCAGCTTCAAGTCAGATCTGGCTGAATGGGCCTTTCTTAATTGATGGCAGAAATTTGTTCCCCTAAAGTGGGACGAGGTCTGTGTGAGTACATTTATGTACTTTAGCCGCTTTAACCTGTTTCTCATGAACTTCCATCCCTGGGAAGGCCACTCCATGAATGTTGTCCTCTTTCAGTCTTCATTTTTCTGTCCAGGGGGTTGTTGAAAACTAAATGGCTGAGGAGCGTCAAATCAGCAGGCACTTAGGTGTTTTTTTGTGGCCAGCACATCTGAAGAGAGCAACAGCAGGCTAACATCACAAAGTTCGTGCTCACTTTTCAAGATGATCAGGGCAAATCGTAGATTTTGTGTCAACAACAAACCTCCTTTCAAAAGAAAAATGGGGGGCTTGTGGCGAAATCGAGTTTAAGCCGCGTCACTGCCCCCATTCACTAGATGGCAGGGTCAGTTTCAGCCAAAAGATCAAAGCAATCAGATCACACTCCTTGCTGAAACAGCTAGGTGTCTCTGACAATCGGGGCTGCGGAGCACGAAATGCTGCTGCCAGCCCTAGCAAGCTTTGGCAATGCGAAGCAAAAGACCGATTCTCAGAGTCTCAGATATCACCTCTTTCCAGCACAACAACATTGATAAAGCACATGATCTTTGACAGTGTTTGAGTAGCTACGAGTAGCTGGCAAAAACTTGTAAATGATATATAATAATTGGAACAGACTATACTACTATACCTGCAATAGTATCGGAGCATTCGGAAACGTTCAGAAATCAGAAATTAAAACGGCATTGAGCTACTAGAGCTCATGCCCCAGGAAAGATGCTAGCAGTTTCAAAGTTTTCATTCTAACCTGTTTCGGGAAGCGCTTCAAGCGGTTCACGACCTCGGCTCAAGTTCAAGCAAATCTGCACAAACCACCCCAACCAAATCACACGCCGTGGATTCCTAACCGGCACTCGTATCATCTAAGCTTGATGACCTTGATGGCTGGCGAACTCAGACATACTACAGATACTACAGTGGATCATTGCAACATACCAGCTTCGACTTGGCAAAGGAAAAGGTGGGGCAAAGCAAGCTTCTCTCGTACCATCATAATCGTTGGCCACAGCACATCTTTGCCCATAGGCCGGTCTGCGGCGGCAAAACGGAGACATTCCTGTCAGGTGGTCGGAAACTGTCGAAAGATTGATGCTGTGAGACAGAGCTCTTCAGCACTAAAATATAGTTTTAAAACACACTTTGGGGTCAAGCTCATCTTTGCTTATCTTTGTCGGAACTTCTTTTCTCCGCGGGTGCTCCTTGATGAGTCGTGCCACCTCTCTCGGCAGCTCCGGCAATTGGCTCATGTCTGGGGTCCAACCAGCCCAGCCTTCAATGCAGGGTCACTCATTGGACGAAGCCCGACATGCTGTATCAAAACATTGGCAACCTTGGATGGCTATCGATATTGATGTCTTCAAGCAGCAAATGGTTCTTGGAGTGTTAATTTGTTTGGCGATCCGCTATGCACTGTGTGTCCTGATCCACTCATTAGGAGCGCTCGGCTTTTCGGCTATAGCGGCTATACAACAAACGCTGTAGGGGCCTCTGTTTTGTTTCCAGTGTGCTTGCAAGATTTCTTGAACATCAAGTTCCCCCCCATAAAGCCCAGCCTACTGACGCTAAGACCTGGCCGAAACTCATGTCTTTGTGAGGAAGCTTTTGCGTCAGCATTTCCTTGGTATTAGAGGCACCAAGAGAGTTGACAAGCCCCTGACATGTGCGCTTTGAATACTGAGCAGGGTTAGCTGGCCATGGCTGCTCAATTGGCACGATCAGCCCGGTCCGTTCCTTTCTCGAATGCTCTGGTCAAGTGTCCCACATCATCACCTTGGTTGCCACTTCATCAGTGCTACGCTTTCAAAGTGAAACAGAAAGAAAAGAGCACCTTCTGCAAGCTGCTGTTCCTATAGCTTAAGCATTGCAGTCGTCAGCTGAGGCCAGGCGCTCCAAAGGAATAAATGTCCTGAGTAAGTACAAGGAGCCCAGCTCAAAGTTCCAAGCAAACCATCAATTCTGCTGGCAAAGAACCACAATGTTCGAAAAGGTTTCAATACGTCAAAGTTTCATAAAGTTTCTTGCTCCATCAGATTCCATCAGATTCGAATTCGAATTCTGCGCCGGGTCTCTGCAGCCGGGCTCAGCGCTTCGGATCGGAGAACCTCTGGAGCTGCCCAGTGTGGTGTGCCGCAGCGATGGTGTGGCGATGGATGGCATCGGACCTTCAAAACACACGACACACGATACACCTCTGGAAACACCACCATATTTTACACGGGGGGCCCTTCTGGAAGTCCTATGTGGGAATTCTATGGGAATTATTAGATGCAAGGTGCGATACAGCGGATACAGGTACTCCGGACACTTCAACTCGATCAAATTCAAGGTCTTCGGACACGGCACAGCTGCATGACCAAAGTCGCAAATTCGTGGAACAGGTTGCCGGGATGACCTGAAAGTATCTGAAAGTGATTGGAAACACTCAAAGCAACTCACATCGCAAGAGCAGCACGCAGCACTCCGAACATCAAAGCGACAGCTGAGCATCCAACGAGGTGTAGTCGATCAGAATGTTCGATGACTTCAAGTCAGCGTGGACCAAGTTCTTCTGATGGATGTAACAGATTCCTGCCAAGCAATCGTAATGTTGGGCTCAACTTCCACAATATCTATCGAATCTATCGGCTGTCCCTCTTGCGTCTGCATTGTTGTGAATGTTGTGAAGCAAATGTCCTGAAATGATACCAGTCCTCAGCTCCATCTGTCCACAAGGATCTGGAAAACACCAGAAAGCTTCGCATATGTTGCACCCTGTGCAATTAATCCCCCAGCAGCCAAAACTTTAGATCTACGTGATGCAGTCTTGACGTGTCTTGATCTTCTTTGACCATGCAGCCCCAGACTCCCCAAGCTCAAGGACAGGGATACTGTCAGCTCCCCATGCCAACGCAGCTTGTAAGGCCTCCCACGCAAAGACATGAGGAGTGTAATCTTGACAGGACAATCCCCACACCGTCTCACTCAGATCTTGATTTTTCAATTGCACTGTCACTGTCATTGGCACTGCTTCCAAGAAACTGATGAATCATGTCGAATAGAGAGCCTCGGTGCAACTGTCTGTGTTTATTTTCCGGCTGCTTGCTCGAGAAGCCCTTTACCTCTATACATTTATGAGAGACCTAGGACAGCAAATCTTGAAATAGTTTGATCATATGTTGTCCTTTTTGTCATTTTTTGTAGTTTGGGTGTCATTTGTCTTTTTTGTCGTTTGGATGTCCCCTTTTTCTGTATTTTTTTTGTCGTTTTGTTTGTCATGGGTCGTGTTTTTGTCATTTGGGTGTGTAATTCTTATGGCATGTGTTGCCTTTTGAATGTACAGTAGTTGGTTTCTTATGTTATAATTTGTACTTTAGTGGTCGTTCTGATTGATTTCCAAGTGCCACAAGACTTTCAATGCGACTACCAGAGCAGGAAAAAACAGAAGAAAAAAAAGGCAACCGAGAAACATCATAGTAGATTTAGTAGATGTAAAGGCCAATGTCAGAACACACAAAAAGAATAACCCCGCGACACTGGAACGCCAAGGACACGAGCAAAAGAAAAAATGCAAGCAGTAAAAAAAACAAAAGCAAACATACCAAGCGCGCAGGAAAAAACATTACGCATGAATAAAACACCCACATTAAACAACAACAAATCGGAATCAGAGCTCTCCACAAAACAAAACATTGACAAATTGACAAGCATGTGCATGTGACAGAAAATTGACAACCCCAAATGACAAAAAAAAACTCAAAAAAAAACGGCAAACCCAAATGACAGAAAAATGACAAATGACCAAAACGACAAGTGGCAATGACAAAAGACGAAAAACATGTCTTGCTCTGGCGCAAAACCCGCCAGTAAGTAGTTCATAAGCCTAATTACACAAGTTTCATGAGGCTACGCTTCATCGCATTTGAGCCAGGATGCAATCCATTAGCTCGGAGATTATGAAGCATTTCCTGAGGCAGCGGACTGAAAATGTGAAGTACTGGAAACGGTCGGAGAGGAACGCGATTGTTTGCCTCTGCCCTCTTGCTTTGGATCATTTGGATCTGTGCGATGTAAAATGGATCAAAGTGGTACAACTTAGAGTCCGCTGGACATTGTCCGTGCAAACACCCACAAAGGTGCAGATGTTCGGGTGGCTCAAAGACGCCATCACCTAAAGAAGCAGCAAGAGTTGTTGCATCTTTATGTCCACAGATCGATGTCTTCAAGAAGATATGAAATCATCCTGAGGCGCCCTGCGCATGCTTCTTTCAGGAGCTCGTACAGCTGAACTCTGCGCTCACCCTTCATGTCCTTGTCACCACACATGACTGCTCGATATGATGTGTCTTGCTTCTCTCTCTCTCTCTCTCTCTTCCTATCGCCATCTCCACAAGTCTATGATTTTGATTTGTCATATTTGGATATATTATATATGATATATTTGGAGTTTATACTGTTCAGATTGATCGCTGGTCTCCTTGCTGTTTTGTTTGCGGCTGGTTTCCTTCCCTTTTGTCCTACCCTTTCTAACTTGTCGGTCTATCGGTCTGAACATGTTCCTCACAAGCTCACTAGCTGGTTCCTCCCTCCATGTTTCTTGCGATGGTGAGCTTGCAAGTCCTTGACTGCCACCAAGTGGGTTCTTCGGGCCTGGCAGAAGATATTTTCTGAAACACCTTGCAAAAGAAGAGAGACAAAGTTCATCAGTTTCCTGTCATCATCTCACCAGCCAGAAGAGTTTCGGGACCTTTCTTTATATTCATTTTGAATTCCCGTGACTCTCTCTTACATTCCAACCCAACCACAGCAATCACCGATACCCCTGCCTGGAAAGCACCTCCGGCCCTATCAACTTTCGGTTCCTGGGTGTGAGTTGAAGTGAAGGAGAGAGACCTCCACAAGATCTGTCAGAAAGAATCGACACTCGCAGTAACCAAGTCTCGAGAACACCGCGGTATACAGTTCCGTAACCACCCTGCGAAATCTTGGACACCATGGTAAGCTCTTCCTTCCTGGTGCAGCAACAGTGTCATTCTGTCATTCAGCTTGTGGGGAAAGCCGCAAAAGATATGACAGATATCACAAATACGGGATCAAGGACGGCACGGTATTATGTAGTGGCTGAGCACGGAGTCGCCTTGGAGGAAAAATTGCACTAATCCTGCGACGATTTTGTTTTTTGCCCCACAGCCTTGCCCACTCACAGCCAAGCAACTGATGATGTCCATGGCCTTCACACTGCAAACACTTGCCTCCAAGCGTGTTCCGTCCAATAAACCTGGGATCTGAAATGCACTCAGGCATTTCAGATTTGAGTAAGCGATCGCTTGAACTTCGACTTATATACATTCTGCCTGCAAGCACAGGTGTGTGCACGCGGATATGCGTGAATCAATGCAGAACCAGGGATACACGAACAGGCCTTTGAACCTAACCACGGAAAATTGAAAGAATTCTGACGAGCATCGCTTCAAAGCATTGCGAACCACCAGGCGCTCAACAGGGGTCACCATGCCCAAGGCTTTGCGCAGCTGGACATTTGACATGCTGAGAAACCTGACTGTTGTTTCATGGCGCACAGAAGCCCCCTCATTCTTTCAAACGTGAGCAATGTTCGGAATTCTTGCGGACACATATTATATGAGTGTCTGCATCCATATGTATGTGTGTGCAAAGATAAATTAAGCCAGAAAATTGCATACAGCAAGACATACTTTATATATCTTTATGGATTTTGTATAACGTATATGCATATGTATATACATAATGTTATATAGGCTCATATGCATACAACATAGTTTCGTGTACATATGCCATGCCGTGCTGAGAATACCTTAATCCTTGCGAGCAAGTCACTGTGCAGCACCCTTGAAGCGCTGACGCATCACGCGATGGCTGACATCTGGGCTCAGCCCGAGGCAGGACATGAACCTCGTTACACAACTTCTTGGTGGCTCATTGGCATCATGAAATGTCCACAGAATCTCTGCAAGATCTAGCACTGGATCTACGCAAATTTAGGCGCTAACGCAGCTAGCTCGTCCTGGCAGCTGCATGTTCAGAGGAGTGGTGTTATCCTTCTGTCGCAGCTGCAGCGAAGAGTTTAAGTGTTCTTGGTTTCCTCTGTCCACAGCATTGGGCTTCTTCGGAAAGGGGCCCTCTTGGCAGCTTTTTTGGCCAAGTCAGCTGCATTAAGGTCCTGTCACGAATGCTGCCCATGCTGCGCAATGTGATCTCATCCACTGTATTTGCTAGCCAGGCTAGTTACGTAGTGAAAATGACGCAAGTGTTGCTCACTTGGATACAACCAAGCTTCCCGCACCAGTTTGTTGCTGCTAAAGCTTTTGCTCTGCATCATCAAAGCTGAGCGTCTTGGAAAGGCTATTGTATCGCTCTTGTCGCCATCGACTGTCGCGACCCCAACCCGCAACCATGGGGCCAACAAACGAGATACAGTATATACTTATACTTAGTATATCTTAGTATATACTATATACTGAGGAAAATGCACACAAGGCCCCATCAAAAGAATCTCCTGGGAATAGCGGCCATGGTTGGAATTGTTCCCGGCAGATCCTGGTAGCATGCTGCGTAAGTGCCAGCAGTTTCACAGCACATAGGTTACAGTGTCCGTCCTCCGCCAGCTGCTCCACGACTCAGGTGCAAGCGTTGAACGACCCCGTTGACATCACCTTGGTCCATGCGTGTCACATCGTTGGTCCATGGCCCGTTGTCCAACGGTTGACAATGGACCAACAATGGTTGACAGCACCCACAACCCCACCTGAATCCAGCTGATCCCGGATGCGCCGCTGTTCCAGGCGCAATTCCTGAACACTATCGCAAAATTATCGCAAAAGGACATGTTTGCGAGCCCAATAGGTTCCGATACCTGCTTGCAGTATGGTATCATAGGTTCCGATAGATGCTGTCCTGCGGTGAGATGAAGTCATTCTCTTCATGCATTGAGAATACAAAGCCACCATTGGCATTGCCTCAGGGAGAAGTCTGTCAACCGAGTACTTTTGATGCGAAGCACACTGCCTTGCAAATCCTTGCAACCTGCTAAGATCTGCCAAGCTTTGAGACACAAACCTGGAGCTCCTGGAGCTCCGGGAGACACGCGTTGTCCTGGGACGGTGCCGCTTCCAAGATCTTCCAAGTCAGACATCCAGCGGCATTCATCGTCCAAGCTCAGCTGAAGACATGCAGAGTGAAACCTGCGAAAGCGAGGCCCTGCCTGTACTTTCACTGGAGCTCCGCCGCTCCGAAGCTGTTGGCCCGGTGCCGTACTGCAAGGGAGTCTGATGGCCTCAGCAGACCACAAGAATCCACAGGATTCACACGATATGATTCTTGTCTGTTTTAATACATATATATCATATATACATATATATATATCATATATACCATATATCTCATATATATATATCATATATATATAATATTATATATATACGCGATCATACGTGTCTCTAATACCATATGCATGCAACTGCATCTCCGTTTGAATCTGTGTTGCAGACTTCTCTCTGCTAACAGCCGCTAGCACGATGCCAAAATATACACAATCAATCAGAACAATCCCAAGCACATTCATGGTGCCATCATGCATGCAAAACACCTGTCGCCTTTGTCTATACGCGCACAGGTTTACAAAGGAGGCCACTTGCAACATCGCAAACCAACGCATGTTGAGCAGCCCATTGAAGTTCCTGGGCTGGAGATGCGCTGTCCCATGAAGGTGCCTCCGCCAAAGCTGGCCTCAACAGCAGTCATGTGCAAGGCATCAACACACAATGACCAGCGCAGAACTTCAGGAAAGAAGCGGCTCCAGCTTGAAGCGCTGGTGTCGCCGGCGTTCCAAAATCATTGTTCGACCTGGGAAGCACCGATTGGCAAGATCTTTGCGATCAAATGAACCTGCGGAACATGCCAACGCGATGATCCTGGCCTTTTGACGGTTGGCTAAGTGCCGGACCCGTTGCGAGGAATTGACATTGGCAACGGTGTGCTTCTTTTTGCACTTGCAGTCGACGTGCTTCCCTGATGGTGTCACGGTAGTTGCAACACACAGTGATGCCAGTTGCCGTTTCAGTTCAGCGTAGACATGTGTTGAGAACATGCACTTGACAGCACTGCACTTGACGCAAGATTTGGAAGATTCTCACCAATGTGCGTTCAAGCGTCACTCTCATTTTCACCAGGAGACACAGTTCCAGTTCCCGGAGGTGCCTCGGCACTAGTCAAGCACAACAAAAGACTTTGCAAGGAAATCAATCCCTAAGATTTTAAACATGGCGAAATAATCTGACCTACTGCCGCAACTGTGAAACATGCCATGTCCACTGTGCCATCGATTGGATCCATCGCGATACAAAGAAAAAACTGTTAGCGTGAAGTTACCAAAGAAGTCAGCATCTAGAAATCTCTCTCTCTCTCTCTCTGTCTCTCTCTTTCTCTCTTTAGAGCGCCATCAGCAAAGTCAACCAGGGTAAGGAGAAAGAAGTCAGCATAGAAGCTGCATTGCAGGCCAAGCTGATGTAGCCGATTTGCCTCTGAAAAGGCAAGCTCAGCCAATGAAGTTCGGGCGCCAGCATCTTGAAACTGGCCAAAGTGAAACGTTGCACTATTTGGCATTGTGGCACCTTAGGTCGAGCATCCTGAATTTCCAAAGCTACTCCACAAGTGCTCTCATCCCATAACAAGAATTATGCTGTCTTGTGTCATAATTTGAAGGCAAGGAGCTGCTGGCCAAACCGCTTCGCCTTAATGACATGTGTTTCCCATGTGGTGAAAATCCAAACTGGAATCAAATAACATACAACGACATACTGAGGCAGGGTGCCAGCTATCATTGTTGCCCATGGCAGGTGAGGACCTCAAGCTGCTATCTCCCAAGTCTCCCAGGCCCTCATGCTTCATGTGATCACGGAGTGATGGCAGTGAGCCCCCGGCCTTCGCTGCAAGTCTTCAATTTTGTAAAGTTCCTCGGCGCGTCTGAGACTCGGCATCTGTCGACAAGCTGAGTTTCCAAGTTACTGGATATTATTTGAATGATTGGACCAGCCAAGTCACATCAAGCTCTTGCTCAAGTGCTTCATAGAAGGGCTTAGGACCTTTATGACAACAAATGGTGACAAGAAAGTCGAAACAATTCTTCAGAGTGGGGCTTCAACTTGCTCTCATAGCTCACGCAAAATTGAGGCGCGCAGCGGGAGTTGGCATCCAAGACTTCATTGCTCGAAATGGCCTTTGCTAGGTTCATTTTCACTCCACGGCCGGCACCTTGGCTTGGTGGCTTGGTGGAATGCGAACTCTTGCAGTTTGGGAGTGCCTAGCACTTGGCCAAGTGACGGTTGCCATTGTTGAAGTTCCCAAAGTATGACCTGCAGCGATGCCAACTACTGCTGCTGAAACCATGGTTTGGTGCGAAACAAGCAAGACGCAAACGCATCGGAAATGCACTGCATACGTTGGAAATGCACTGTATGTCATATTTCAATTGGAAGCGGCTCGTAATCTCTTTCCTCTACGCCCAGCCCATGTTGATGGTCCTGGAGGGTGGCACACGTCAGCAAGAATGCTCCAGACCCGGGAAGGCCCAAAGGCCCAAAGCGAATCAGCAGGTAGTGAGGGATATGAGGGATGCGAGACAGGATGTGACAGAGAAGGACGTTTGGAGATCTGGGTTCGTCTGGCTGGCAAAAGATAAGCCCTTTGTGCGCTTGTCAGATTCGACTTGGTACTAAATAGTCTCCGGCCATAGTCCTCTTTCCATAGCCCCTCGTATCGGTAGGTCGGCATACCCTCAGATCCCAAGTGCAGGCTCTCAAGAGCTGTTTTGTCGGACAAGCATTCATCGAGGTTAAACTGTTAAACTTGTTTCAAACAGCAACGAATTGTTGATCCTAAGGCTTAAGGTTTGAACTGCACCATGCATACACGCAAATTTGTGTCAACTTGGCCAAAAATGTGTAACATGCCTCATTCAAGATCTTCAAGGGTAAAGTTGGGCTGGGTAGCGTTAACTTCAGTAAACGATACTGTGCTACAAGTACAGTATACATACGTATATATGTATATATAGCTGAAGATTCCATTAGAGCATATATTCTTTCAAACCCTTGGTTGGATACAGGTTTTGCCATGCCTCGGCGTTTCGTTTACGGGTAAACGCTCTTTGTGGTGGAAGTAGACTAATGTAAGAATGATATACCACAGTCTACAATTCATGGATGCATGTATGTCCGCACTAGCAGCCACACGAAAGAAAGACAATGCATGAAGAATCTAGAGAGAGAGAGGAGAAAAAGAAAAAAAGCAGGCAGGAAGAGAGAGAGAGAGAGAGGGGCATGTGCTCATAGAACGTAGAATAAAATGGAGGTGTCGTGGCCTATGTTTATGTCCTTCTTGACTTGTTATTATTTTACCCATGTGCTGAATTTCAAGGCCTTTCAGTATGAAGAAATAAAACTCTATGCAGACGCCTGAAAAAGACTTCTGGAAATTGGTGCGCTTGACGTTCGGGGAGATGCACAAAAGACATGGCTAATTCCAGGCTAATTGTGAATGAAGGGCGCACTCAAACCGGAACACTGCACAAAGCCGTTTCGCTGTACGGGTGCTGACACTGTACCCATAGACATTCCATCCACATGTAGCGAAATGCTGCCGCCAAGGTTCAGCTGGCTCCTGCGAAAACTATCAAAGGACACAGGGAAAGCTCAAGGCGACCACACCTGTTTCAATTTCTGCCCATTTGCGGAGTAGTTTTTCAGAAATGTTCAAAGTGTGGTGAGAATCAGCAATGGCCATGAATCCACCCGAGATCCTGGGAGTTGCTGTCCAGGAGAACTCCAAGGCCATGCTTCTGATTGTTCATCCATTGGCCCACCTGAACAGAACACCAAAGCTGGACAAAGCTGTGTTTCTTCGATGCTCCTACGGTGGAAAATAGCTGGATGTAGAGAAAGTGCACTAGCGCTCCCCTGCATTGCCAAGGCACATAAACGCCGCCATTGCGATAAAACAGGACACCGTAACCGTGTTTCTTGTCCTGACTGACATGAGGCCATCGGAGTTGAGGTTAGTTTTAGTATGGTGCAACCTGCACACCCAATCGTAGAGGAACATCACTCACATTTGATATATCATTTGATCACATTTTGCATCCCCTTCCCGATTTCAAGCTCCTCCTGCCATTGACCTTGATACCTTGGCAAGGCAGTTACATGCTGAAAATGTTCCAGACCAGGACAGCATTGCAAGAGGCGCAGCTAAGTGCGGTCGTGAAACTGCTTGTATACGTCATGGGTTCCACTAGAATAGACCTCAGTCTTCTGATGCCCCAGCCAGAATAGAAGGCAGGGCAACTGCAAAGGTTATATTATGAATCTTGATGCTTTGCGTGCAGGTCAACCTGCAGGTCAACCTGCCCTGCACTGTGAAGTATTTCGGAGAAACATTCAGCAACATGGAGCAACGGCTTTCAAAAGCTTTCAATGCAGGCCGAGCAACGTAGGTGCCAATCCCATGTCGTTTTTCACCTTCTGGGAACTGCTTGCAGTTGCCAGTGTACACCTGGCTGACCATGGCTGACCATGGCTGACCAAGATCATCCAAGATCCAAAAGGAAGGAGGCTCCTGACCAAGGACATCGTCTATGGACTCACCAAAATCTCTCAGCCCATCTGAAGGCACGCCCAAAGATCATCAAAGATCCATGGGGTCTCAACACGAGGCAAATTCATACCCAGTCCTACACCAAGTTTTAACAAGAGGATATTTCAGCTCACAGCAGCCATTTTGGAAGGTTGTGGAGGCTGGAGCCCTCTAAGATTCAGCCAGCAACGCATCACCGTTCACAAATTGAACTGACCTTAGGCGCAGATACAAAGGCCGGTCAAACGATGCAGCTTGTCTCAAGATGTGTTGTTAGTCAATGAGGACTTTGACGTGGAACGCATGGAAATGCCACAGGAACCCCAGGATGGCTCTGCTGTGCATCTGAGGCTGCGGCATTTTCCGCGTGAGCCCTTTCTCATCGTTGTCCTTGTCCCTGTCTTTCTCCTTGTCTTTCTCCCTGTCTTTCTGCTTGTCCTTCTGCCTCAGCACCAGCAACAAGGTGCAACAAGCTTGGCCCGCCTATGGTTTTAATTGAGCGCTGTTCATTTGTCCTTCTTTGTCCTTCTCAGGTGGTATCCATGATTTCATAATCATGCATTCACTAAATCTATCTACAGTAAGAAACTCAATCTTCATGTCAAAACCTAACAACTGTACCTGACAGCTGCAACTCTTTATCGAAGATCATCTACATTACTGCATGCAAAAATGCAGGTCGTTTTCCTCTCCGGTGCATAAGTGTTGTGGCACTGAGGGAAAGGAGCAAGAGGCGACCGCCGTGCCCGTTGTCACTGGTCACATCTCGTCACATCTCGTGACTCAACTCGTGACTCAACTCGTGACTCAACTCGTGACTCAACTCGTCACTCGTCCAACTCGTCATCCTCTCCTTTGGTGTGTCCTTTCTCTCGCAGGCTCCGCAGCTCCCGAAGGCGTCCAGCCAACAGCCCTTGGGAAAGTGGAAACGCAACGGCAACAGGGAACTCTCTGAAACCAAAGCACCAAAGGACCAAAACAACAAGATCTCCCGATATCTCCAGAAACAGGGCAAGCTCACAATGGATCCCATGTCTGAACATCTAGCTTTAGAATTCGACAAAACACACCTTCATTTTTTTTGAAGATTCATGGTGTGAAAAAACCTGGCCCAACACAAGTTGTGCCAAAGAATTTGGCAAACTACAGTAATGACATTAGTGCCTCAATTGGTGTGAGTGCGTGTGGGCTTCTCAGGCCAAAGTAACATGATCCAATCATGTTTGATCACGTTTGTACATGTTTCTACCCCGTAAGAATCTCTCCAAGCTTCGTGTTTGCTGCTCTGGTCGTCCGTTCAGGCGTCTGAAGCGAACATCTTTGGCCGCTAGCCTGCGCAAGAGTCTGTCGAAGCTGTCTCCGCCTGTTGGCTCTACATCTTCGCCTCACGAAGGTATTGGCTAAATCACAGCTGACCAAAAAGCTCCACGATGATCTGCCCTGGGAATTCTGGTATCTCTGGAATTTCTTTGCTCCCTTGGTTTTTGTATGTGCGGCATCTGTGTGATTCTGATGTACATATTTATAGGCATGTACATGCGCATTTTTTGTCCGTGCTTCCATGCGCATATGCCTATACAATCCTATACAAAAAATGTGCAAAACGCAACTACATGAATACATGATTTCTGAGCTAAGTTGCAACCACGGAGGTGCTCACAGGTTCGAAGCCACTTTTGGCAGTCTTCTATGGCAAGATCGTAAGCACGTTCTCGCCATTCAAGCCAGGCTGCCTTCAGCACTTCCTTCACCAAGTGAACATAATTGGACAATATTGGACAAATGCGGACAGTGGGTGCGACCCAAACGTCACTCTTGAACGCTTACTTACAACTGCAAAGTCAGCGCAACAGTGAAGCTTCTCAGCAACTGCTGAGCAAACCTAAACATGCTGTCCTCTGGCATCCCGTGAAAAGCTCGAGCAGTTGCTGCGTCAGTGCGGGCATCAAAAGCTCTTTCGACAACTTCCTCCCGGTGCCATGTAATGTCTTTCACGCACAACCATTCAGCACTGCTTCATTTGATTGGAATTTTGAGATGACGGCAGGCCGACTTCAACCCAATGCCCTGATATCCTCGAACTCCAGCTCAGGTCCGATTGCATCAAAACCAGCAGCGTCAAGGATACATAGCCAGGCCTGTCTAATGGGAACGAAACACTAACACCCTGCGACAGAAGTACGCAGCATCTCTCTCTCTCTCTCTCCCTCTCTCTATCGCCCAGCATCTGGGAAGCTTGGTTTGACCATCTTTCACCGAGGTTACCTTTGCCTCATTCCTTAGTGTGCCTTGGTGTGCTTGATTTTCCGCCTCCAAGTCCCATCAAGTCCCATCAAATCCCCAGGATCCTTGGCACCTCTCGGCGTGCATCGATGGATCTTTTCTGGTAGTCCAGATACATCTGCTCCAGTTCCTCGTCCTTCAAGCCCTGCAGGAGATCCTGCAGGAAGTCTCCCAGCTCCTCCTTCGCCTGGTCATGGCAAAATGTCATGACTCAACGCTGCAGGTTTCACATCTTTGATCTACTGCCTTTTCCTGAAGAATCGGCATCGTTCTTCCTTGCAATTGCCTGGGCCTAGACGACTTAACAACCTAGCAATGTTGGCAGCGCCTCCTCCCAGGTCAAGCTGAAGGGATTCTTCACTCGCTCGGCCAAAACACTGAACATTCTCTCCTCGCTTTCTGTGAGTCTCCTCTTCTTTCGCGCTTCCTCCACTTCAAGTTGAATCTGGCGCTGCTTGGCTCTCTGCTTTCTCCGAGATTCTTCCAATTCACGGACAATCCTGCTGTACATGCCTTCCCGTTCTGTAGATCCAAGCTTGGGCCAACAAGGATCGCCCTCAAAGTGACGTCGGACGTGGGAGAAGGAAGGAGCATCGTCCTTTCCATCCTTCTTCAGGGAGCTCAGCGTCCTCAAGACCAAGGCACGAAAGGCGGCACGCGCCTCGTCCTTTTCCTTCTCAACCCGCTTTGTGGCTTCCTCGACCGCTTCAGCGACCATTCGCTCCCTCTTGGCTTCTGCTACTGCATCCCAACGCTCGTCATCTCCAAAACGGCGCTCCATGGCTGACAATGCTCTCTCTACGCTTCGCCCATGGAGCAACTCCATTTCATCTGCCTTGGTCAGCAGCTCTCTGAATGCCTCCCGTCCCTTCAATTTGTGGACTGCCTGGGTCTTGCGCTTCTCACTGTCTATACGCTTGGCTAGCATGTCAAACAGAAGTTTCCTCTCCTTCTGGCCTGTGATGGCAGAAAACCGGGGATCATGCACAAGCTTTGGCAGCCACTTTTCATATTTATCGAAGGCTTTGACGCCCTTTTCCAGGAGGAGCTGCTTGAAATTCCTCAGTTTTTCTTTCTCTTTTGCAAGTTTTTGCTCTTCCTCCACCTGCTGAGCTCTTTTCTCTGCTCGCTCAGCTTTGCTTGGCTTTGTCACCTCCGTTTGAGCGTCATCTTTGGGCACCTCATCGGCCATACGCTCGGGATCTTCTCGATCTTCTTTTGCATTACTCTCCTCATTGCTTTCTTCCACCTCCTCAACTGCACCAAGGCAACCATCAAGCTCGGCCACATCCTTTTCAATTTCAGGCGGGCAAGTCCACGATGTCTTCTTCTGCTTCTTGTGGTAGAAGTAGGTGAAGCCTTTATCAGTCTGAACTCTTGACCACCCAGTCTTGCCTATGGTTTCCCACGACTCAGGTTCCCCAATGCGGTCCTTAATTGAAGCGGCGGGCGCAGCTTTTGGGGCGGCTTGAACTTGTTTCGCTGCCGGCTTCGCATCCACGATCACGTCTTGGGGCCCTGTAGGCTTGACCCATCTTGACTCGCCAGTCTTCCTGCAAAAAAAATAAGGCATGCCTTGTTGTGATTTGTGGGCTTCCCACTCCACCTTTTCAGCGGGTCCAGATGCAGGAGGACCTGGCGGCGGACCTTGCACCGGACTGTGCAACTGACCTGGGAGCAGGCCTGGTTCAGAACCTGGCCCCAGCCCAGGTGGGACACTGCCAGCAACGACGCGTGCCATTGCTGCATCGACAGCTGCCACAAGCTCAGCAGCTGTGATGTCCATGGGTGGCGGTGCCATAGGTGGACCAGGAGGTGGGGGACCCAAAGGGCTCAAGGTAGGCCCGCCAGGCAAAAGCATCGGCGGAGGCGGGGGAGCTCCAGGCAGAAACAATTGCCCTGGTTGAGTTGGAGGCATCTTGGTGCCTATGCAGCCCCCAGCAGTGATCTCAAATTGAGGAGGTTGAGTCAATGGAGGAGGTGGTACTTGTGGCATCGGGCATGGTCCCAAAACAGGTGGGATCGGGAACCCGTCTTTAGCGAAGGCAAGGCTGGCTGCCTTGGATGTGTTCACTGGCACTGCCTTCACCACACTCGCCTTTGAGTGCACCAGCGAGGCTGCTTTTGAAGTATTTGGTTCGGGGTCCATCGCGCGGGAACTAGTGCACGCGTAAAGTGGTGCGTGTAGGGCTGACACATGTACAGTATCTGCATATTCCCATACAGCTACACTACTCTCAAACCTTTACTTTGGTTCATTCAGAATCATTTTGTCGTTCAATCATTCAGTGCATCCGTTTCTGTGGTATGGGCACAAGGGTATATGAAATGCCGTTCACATAGGACAAAGGTGTTGAGAATCAGTGGCTGAAATCCATCCATTCTTCTACTCTAAAGTACTCTAAAGCTTGCAAATTCTGCGGTTGACATGAGGGAGCTTTCTCCGGGGACTCTCTCAGAGCAGGAGCTCTGCAAACGCCAGCGCTGCATGAGGTATGAAGGATGTGAGGCCCAAACGCAGCCTCCTGCCACGAAAAACCACCGTTGTACCAAACACTGCAAAACACAGCAAATTGCGCAAAAAGTTCGAGAACAGCTTGAGGATGTCACAGAATGACCAAAATCAGTGGTTCAAAGAGCCCTGATTCCAACAATCAGCTGGTCCTGTGCGGCTCCACCACTAGGCTGTTCAGGCTCGGAGTCACAGAACGATCCGGCGCGGCTCATACGATTCGCATCTGAACACCTTGGTCATGCTGCCATATGCCGCTTTATCTTTTATGTGTCTATGTCGAAAATCATCTCGTCTCGTCTCGTGAATTCTTATTGCAGTATATCTTGTGATTATCTGATATCTGTTGATATCTCAGTGCTTCGAAGCTGCTCTTCCAGGATCCTAAGTTGGCAGCATCATCGTGATTACTGTAAGCGAATAAATAAACCGAAACCAGCAGGTACAACTGTGCATGACAAAAATGCGCTCAAATAGCCACCAGGCAACTCAACACTGTAGATATATGGTATAGATATATGGTACACCAAATGTTCCATGCTGCTGAAAAGACGTTGCCTATCTTTGCCTAACAATAGCCAGCAAAGCATTGAAAGCGGGACCAACAACGTCTGCATTTTCCCCTCAAATGCCTGAACTTGGTCAAGAAGCTCTCCCAAGGAGTTGACCCGGCTCAGTGATTGTTCATTCACGTTGGCACCTTGCCTGACAAAAAGTACTTCACTTGACACCGGGGCCAAAGCCAAGAGAGCCTGCAAGTTGATTCAAGCACTGACCCAAATCTAAAGCCGAAGGTGCGTTCGCCACATCTGCATCAGCGCCTTCAGGACTGAAGTAAATCACAACACATTCAGCACATGTCAGCACCGTCAATTCATTGTGCAGTTCATGGCAATCCTCATTTTGAGTTTGGGCCACAAATGCGCTCAGGTGACACGCTGCAAACACCTTAAAGGCGGACTTTTTCAACATGCCAAATCAAGTCAGCTGAAGAAACTTTCGGCATCTTCTGTCCAGCCCTCCAACTCTGGTAGGGGATGAAGGGCCAGCCATTCCTGGCAGAGGTCGTATGTCTTTCTTGGATCAACGGCCAGCATGACCAGCTGACCAGCCATGATTTCAGTGACCCACAGCAGCCCACAGCAGCCCACAGCAGCCCACAGCAGCCCACAGCAGCCCACTGCAGCCCACGGGTCCTTCGGCATCGGTGCGGTGATTTTGATCATCTCCTGCCGAAACGGATCTGGCATCTCCAGCTCGAACAACTGCATTGTCAAGGTGCCTGGCAGGGTCAGTCCCAAGATGTCCCAAGGTAACAACGCAATATGACTCGTCCAATGCTGGAAAATTGAAGATCTCAGGCCTGCGAGGGCTGATGAGAAGTTGTTCTCCCCATCGGCCCCGTTGCTTCTACCCTTTCTCTTTCTGAAGTCCGGATGGTACGCTAGATCAAACCTCGATATCCCGCAACAGACCCCCTAAAAGAGATTATCAAGAACACACAAATCTGTGCGCAAGTCAAAACAAAAGCAGCCGAGCCGCTTTCGAATCAGTTGACAGTGCACACCCGAGGAGAAAAAACAAGTGCAATTAAATTTATACAATCTATTATAATCTATATAAATCAATATCTTATGGCCTATAGCCTTGCAGGTCTCACTTGAAATACTGCTGCTGAAATTTGCTGCCAAATGTCATGACGGGAGTCCCAGCGACTGCCAGACTCCGCCGTAGCTCCCGCGCCGCTTTGGTTGAGGGCCTTTCTGTCACCAGGTACATTTCCTTGGCAATGCCAGCGAATGTGAATAAACATTCAAACATCAAGCAAACCTAAATGAAGCACAAGAAACAAAACATCCAATTGCTAGTAGGATACTGCCGAGGCTCTGTGATGATTTCAGGAAAAGAAGGGCAGGCAGTTGGACCTAAGAGGCTCGGTTGTTATATATAGGTTATGGCTGCTCACAATTCTTCAATAGAAGAACCACATCGACTTGTGCAATAGTGTACGCCCAAAATAAACTTTGGGTATTTCTAGCGCAAAGCAAGGTGCCGCTATACAAAGAAAGCTCGGGCAATTTTGACTCGGTACCTTTCAGGGCAAATAGATGCCATCATGGAGCATGATATCATACATGACCTCTGAACACCAGAAACCTATGGAAAAGGCACAGCTTCAAAATACTGAAGACATGAAGCTCTAGCAGCTCTAGCAGCTCTAGTAGCTCTAGCAGCTCTAGTAGCTCTAGTAGCGTTTGCATGCAAACGACATCGGCAAACGGAGAGCCTTGGAGCTGTTGTTTCGCCTCCCCGACGCCCAGGCCATGAGATGAGGCGTCGACCAGCAGCCGATAGCGGCTTTTCACCAATCCGCGACGCCTCGTGGCAAAGAAAAAAGAAAAACAAGGAAAAAGACCTCCGCAAGGGCCCAAGATCACAAACAGTCCGACATGTGCGACATGTGCACGCGACATTGTTTCAAGTTTCAAGATATTTCAATCCAGTCAAGCTGGTGATTCTCTACGTTGGCAGGCAAGACTCAAGGTCTCGTCCAGATTTTTTCGCATCGCATCGTCAGTGGCCACCTCCCAAAATGGAAAGCAGCACATGAACTGTTTGCGCAATTTCTGCCCCTGTGTCGTGGTGTTCTTCTTGCAACCTCCTCAGCGAAAAACAGAAACTAAGCTTCGCACAACCACCAAACCTTCTGCTTCTTTTTCTGGCTTTATAGGGAATGAGAGAGAACCTGCAAAAGGCTGAAGAAGAGATAAAAGAAGAAACAATCAAGACTGAAATCAAGCAGTTTTCTGAAATTCATGGCCTCTCAAGACTCAAAATGTGTTTTTTTTTCGAGGTACGGCCACTGGGCAAGAGAGGCTTGAGGGTGGTCTCCAGCGATGGCATCGGTGGTGCGGCAGCCCCTGAAAAATTGGGCGGCTTCAGCACGACGCACCAACGATCTCGGAGAGACCCCAACCTGAAATGCGATGAAATATGATGAAATAGATATTTTTGGAGGGACACCGACCAGACAATGGCAAAACAATGCGAAACATCGTGATAGCACATGTGCTGCTTTTGAGCGCGGCTACAGTCACTAAATTGCCGAGAAAAACAGAGAAAAAAACGAAACATAACAAAACTGAAACAGCATGAAAAGTCCAAGGCAATTGTCAAGTGTCACTATCGGCACATGCAAACGGCTGTAGGTCCCCATCGTTCGGCCGCCAGATGGTCACCGGCATGTTAAGATGGCAAAAGATGTGTTGCAAATGCGGCCAAATGAAAAAGGCACCCCGTCCATTCTTGACGTGAAAACAATAATAACAATCACAAAATATAAAAGTTTCAAGCGGGATTCCCTACAAAGCAGTCACTTTGGATGGATGCTACGTCAGAACTGTTCAATGGCTCGAGCCAAACAAGCTTTTGCAGTGCCCAAAGCTGGTCTTCTGCGCCATGCAGACTCTGCTCACATATGTATCTCTAGTTTCAAAGCGTGACTTACACCATGTGACAGCCCCAGGCCTGCAGGTCAGCGTCCGACTCAACCGCATGAAATGGAAGGGGCATTACCTCCTGGACAATGACGCGAGCAATACGAGCGAAGGAAACCCTCAAGAATAACAGCATGGGGAAGATATGCAAAGGTCTTACTTTCAGCTCCCACAGTGATGGGGATTGGTATCATTGACTCACGTCTTCCAAGTTCCCTGACAGTTTGGGGGCATCTCATGGTCACCCAGTTTCAACTTGGGATCCCTTCGGTTCATTCTGCTTTCTGTTTCTTGCTACTTGTGGCAGAACAACACAATAATGCTGTCCTTGGTCTTCTCTTGGCCTGTGCGGGACAGATCTGATCACGTCATATCATTTCACATGTTCCTTTCTGACGGTACTTGCAAATTGCCCAAGCTGGTCACTGAATAGCGATTCAGTTTTGCCCAGCCTGCAGACGTTGGCATAGGAACGTCCAGGTAGGAACGAAGCAGACTTTCAGACTCTGCAGACGTAGTAGTTAGCTCGAATGTGTCGACGATGTGGCCCTGCGACCACCCACTGGATTGCAAGAGGCGCACCCCACGATGGAACATGATGGAATTGAATGTTTTCTGTACCACACTTCTCCCGCAAGCATGTTTAAATGCTTGAGAACAGTTCTCCCAACGTTGGTACTCCAACACCCCAGAATCTCAACGAACATTCTTTGTTGCTGGAAAATGCACTCTGTACCAACTCAGCATTCAGCCGCACCTCTGTTGTGGAAATAGTTGCTGTCGCAATGCCTCTGTCTGTAAAAGCTGAAAGAGTTCAAACCATGTTCAAACTCAAGAAGATCAAGTAGGGAAGCCCTTTCCAGCCCCTCAAGTCTTGCTACGACTGTGCTCGCCGGCCAAGGTGCTGAAACCACAGCGGTACAGAACCAGAGCTGTGTAGGTCAGCAAACCTGCCTAAGTACAGCAAGCTTTGACTGCAAATTGCCCCGAGAGAACATTGGTTCTTTATGGTTCTTTATGGTTCTTTGCCATCGCGTTGGCCCCTGCCTGATTGATGCCTTCCAGCACCAGCTTGTAGCACAGCTCCTCCCTGTCACTCAGTGGACTCAGTGGACTCAGTGGACCCCGTGGACTGTCCAAGTGCTGACTGTTCGAGGCACCTTTGAGGAGGACGTTCCACAAATGAAACAACCTGAAACACGTGGGGTGCAGGACCAATTTGCTGATTCAAGTCTTGAGCTCCTGCCAGTAAATTGCAACAATATGACAATATGCAGCAACTGCATTATCCTTTTCACAATTCAACTTTAACTGTAACTGTCCAATCAGGACGTCACGTCTGAAATTGCAGCAAAGCAACACTGACTAGGTCAGGATTGACTGACAGCCTTTTCGAGACGTTGGCCAAGGAATTGTCAAAGGCTGAACCTGATACCATGCAGTCCACTCAAGCAGACTTGTGCCTCATATTCCTTTTTAAACTCCATTCCATGCTTGAATGTCCTCGAACATATCAAAATGAATAGAGGCAAGAAACAGCCCGAACATGACATGTGTATATAATAGATGCTAGATCATGCCTGTAGCGACATGCCAGTTGCCAGTAGCAATATGGTATGGACATTCTAACCTCTGGTCTTCTCCAACAGCTCCTCAAGTTCTCTGCACCTGAGCGCTTGCCGCGGAATCTGAGTCTAGCCGCTGCAGAAGACAAATTTGCAAATCAATTTTACTTCAAGAAAGTGATTCACAATCTGGAATTGGATTTCCTTTGTTGTTCTGCTGTATGTCTGTAGACGTCCCATTGTGCCCCTCCTCTTCAGTCAAGACACCACTCCACACAGGCTGCGGTGTCGGAAGGGCGTGCGATCCGAACTTCAAATTGATTGTACACCTTATAGTTCACAAACAGCGCGAGCTGTTGAGCAATCTAGGTCCAAGAGCGACCTGTGACCGCAAGCTTGTATCGTTGTTCAGTCTAGGCAGCAGCTTGGCACTGCAAATAGCTTGGCAAGACACTACTCCGTTCTCGGTATTGATTGAAGCACTGCCTCATTGCCAGATTGAATGCCCCTGGACCAAGTGCCAACAACTTACATTGTGAGAGGAGTGGTGCAATCATGGCACGCTTCCAGTTTTCTTCCCTTGCCAGTTATGAGTCAATTTAGTCATTTAGTCTTCAGGAAAAACACAATCGCATAATTTGAAGTGCAGCTGCAAATGTCCACACCATGGCTGGTCAGCAGCTCGCATATCTTGAAGAGCAAGCCAACCTCAGCGCAGGTGATCGCAAACACCCAGGTCCAGGTGGCGAGTCAAACATTGTGATAAGATGTGATAAGTGATGAGTCATGAGTGACAAGGCCACCCAAATATATCCAAATTTCAATGTGGTGCTCGTCATGCCATTGTGCAAGCAAAGGGCGTGGTCATAGCTGTACACCTGCAGAAACCAACGGTCCAGACTTGGAATAGAAAACACACAGAAGTGTGTGGGGCACTCACTGTGGAATTTTGCTTGCACTGCAAGAAATTCGGCCTCCAAGTGACCAAGGTGATGGTCCTCGCGATTAACATATAGTCTAACCGGCTTCTCTGGCAGGGTCCTGCAGAAGTTCGAATTCAAAATTCAAAAAATGTGTGTCGGCGCAGGTGCAGGAAAACATAAACGATCATGCAGGTAATGAGCTGTTGTCCCTGTCCCTGTCGATTGGTTCTGGATCTTGCTCTCACGAGGCTCTTCCTTTTTCGCTTCGATCGCATTCTGGCCATTCTGCGCGTTCTCCATCTTGGCCTTGATGTCGAACTTCACGGCCACACTCTCCGGCGCACTTTCAGGCGCCGGTGCCATGGGCCAGGGTGGGCCGCGCCCAGGTGCCAAACTTCCACGGTGATGTCAGTGTGGGATGCACGGTGCACTGATACACTGATCATGTCGCGATGTAGGTGTTGGATGGTGTTCCAAAGGTTGGCTGTGGATGACCCAGTAGAAGTTCTGTCAAATGGGCTGCGGCTCAAGGGGTTTGAGCAGTGTTCGATGACTATTGAGAAACAAGCCCTATGCTCTGGAAGATGGGCGTCTGAGCCAAAGAAACACAGCATACACTTCTTGGACGCACATGGCTTGGCAGTCTCCTATTTCTTCGGACAAGGTTTCAACTCCTGCGAGTCATTTCCAAGACAAACAATCACTGAGCATCACCAAGTGAGCTTCGAATCATGCCGCACATACTGCAGGCAGGGAGGCTCATGTTGGTGGACCTGTGTATTGAAGCAGGCGCCCCTACAAACAACAATGTCCAGCCATCAAATGCCATCAAATGATCAAGCACAAGGAAATACAAGGAATATCTTGGGCAAGTCAAAAGAAATGCAGTCAGTGACAACCCAGGTGACATAATGTTGTGCACCTGAAGAGCGTTGGAGAATGCATCACTTCAGGCTGCGCCTGGATTCAGCAAGGGTAAAATCTGGAATGCTGTGGTGTCTGGGAGGGAAATTTTGGAAACAGCCTTTTGTATCCTTTTGTAAGGTACAACGGCACAACAAACATAAAAAGAAAAGAGTTTCACCACCAGCAGGGCACTGGCCAACCTTGTAAACCCGCTTCACCAGCTCTATGAGATCTAAACCCGACGCAGCTGCTCGCAGCTCCTGTGCGAGCTGAAGGCAAGCTGAAAGAAAAAACATGAAAAAACAACTTCCAAGTTTACCGTAGGCATAGTTGGCTCCAAGTTCAAAGCAGGATAATTTTCTCCAAGTGCGATAACTCCAAGTCTCCAAGTCCCTACCTGGATACTACAGACTTCCCAAATAGTACTACGGACATCACAAACAATGAAAAGTTGCAATCAAGCTAGGCAGGAGCATTGCATGGCATTGCCTTTCAGCTTGCAGCATAGCATGCATCACTCCACGATTGAACACACTGCGAAACCTCTATATAAAAGAAGATGCACTATTTGCATTGAATCTCATGTAGATGTATGACAATGTATGATTCTGGGATTATCTGATCGAAGTTCAAGAAAAACAGACCATTCAAGACCTTCGAGCTGCTCTGCCTTCTCAACTTGGTGAATACGTTCTTCGCGATGAGATATGTACATCTTCAGCCTAAGTATATGTAAGTTTCACATGTAAAATCTGTGATGACCGGACTTCGTCAGAAACCCACAGAAACAGTGGACTTGCACATGATGGTGGCAAGTGTTCCTGCCGGGTACAAGGGCTTGGCCCCGGACCATGCCGCGCTTTCAGCAGCACCAGCAACTGTTGGCCTTGCAAAGCACTCATGGCAGGGAAAGCAAATGGAATGTTTCTAGCCCTGCGCTTGTGAAATATTTAGAAGTTGGACCGAGAATCGGGCCCATGTGCGGGATAAAGCACCCTCGCCCCCTTCGCAAAAACCAGCCGCCAAATTTATGGTCTAGTTCATTCAAAGGCATGGCTACAAAACAATCCTAGCCTGAGCTGCCATGCGCTTCAGGGAGTTCATGTACGGCTGCATGTCCTGAGTAAAGTTGGAATGGTTCTGCTCTCTTTTGTTCTCTTCACCTGCTAGGATCAGAATAATTCTAGCTCAAAACACACAGCACTAGTGCCACTCACTAGTGTACTCATTGCTGCGAAAGTGGAAAGGTCCATGCCAAGGCTCACACTAGACCCTTGCTCTTCCCAACAGTTCAACATAGTTCAACATAGTTCAACATAAAGCAGCAAAAATTCTAAAACCCACCACAGCAAGTTTTGTGTATCCCGGTGTCCTGGAAGGTGCCAGTTCCCCATCCCAGCCTCAAGCAGATCAAGCAGCTAAGAGCGCAGAAATCGAAGGAAACGGCTCTAGCCGGCTCCTTGGAATACTAAAGTAGCTGCTATTTTTGTGCCACTGGTCTCACGGGATTTATGTTTTTCATTCAATCTCTTTCAACGCTTTCCTGAGTTCTTTGGCACGTTATCACCTGTGAAAAGCGCTCCCTCCTCCTGTAAGAGTCAGTGCATTCTATCAATGACATTCAACAACATTCCCCATGTGCGCCGAAGACCATGCTGTGAGTCGCTCCTCAAGGAAAAGGCATACGTGATCATTTGCATGGCCTAAGTCCACATCGACTCTGGAGCATCTCTGAGACTCTACTAGTCTACAGATGTCTACAGATGTCTACAGATGTCTACAGCATCTAGGCCAATTGAATCTCAGCTCTGCACCTGGCGTGAACAGCACCTTTAAACTTGCTCCCTCGTGCTGCAAAACATTGCCGCATTACCAGCACAAAAAGGGACTTCACAATTGAAATTTGAGAATGGGGAAGAAGATTAGATAGGGAAAGATCCACAGCATCCACAGCTTCCAAAGCTTCGGCAGTGGCCTCGCAGTGCAGCTCCTCCAAATCCTCGACAAACAGCACCAGCATATATATGTTTTTATGTTTAGATATGTTTAGTACTTGGATCAGGACATGTTGTGGTGTTTAGCTCAGTTGAGGTACCACCAGTTCGCGTACTTGGATCTTGGACCTAAGAATCGGATGCAGAAACTTGACTGGAAGAATCTGGAAGATGAAAGAAAGACGTGAAGCTGATACAACTCCAGCGCTGCCACCACTTTTTGCACATAATCGCGGTGTCCGCACTTCTGGCATAGCCGATCACCCTGGATCTTGGCATGATTCGGCCACGTCTAAAAGCATGCCCCACGGGGCATGCTTTGATTCCCTCCAACTTCTTTTAAAATGCTATCCACCAGCAGCGGCTGGCAAGTTCATTAAACCTCCAAACCAGGCCTTGCCTATGCAACTTCTGCATAAGCAAGCTGGCAAGAATCATCGATGCTGAGAATCTGTCCTTCTTCACCGAATTTCCTTGCAATGTCCCTGGACAATTGCCAAGAATAAGAAAGGAAAAGGGGAAAGCACTTTGCCGCCTCATTGAAAGCTTGTGACCTGCAACAATTTGGGCACAGATAAGATCCCAACCATCAAGCCGTCACCTGCTCGAAGGACCACACTCCTGTGTACGAACCTGCTCATGCCCGATGGCATGCCCGATGGCCACAAAAACATTACAGCAAGCCTCCTTGGGTTGTTTCTTCGGCTTGCCTGAGCAAACTTTGGTTCAAACCCGCGGAATTTCGGAAACCGATCAGCCCAAGGAGCTCCAAGGTGCTTTCAAAATGCTTTCAGTCGGCAGCAACGCAAATCTACCGGCCTTGTGGCACTTGCCGATTCATGCGCACGAGCTCGTTAGTCCTTAGTTAATACGACGATCATAGAAAGTATAGACCCAAAGAAACGCCTTTCCAAAACCAACAGCAGTGCCTGTGAGAATGATAGAATGAAGAAAAAAACGAAAGAGTTGTCAAAATGCAATTGATTTTTTTGAGGACAAAAATAAGCTTCGGTGGTATCCCCAACAGCCGCAACATTTTATTTTACACATCTTTCTGAAGCGTGCTGCGAAGCCAAGCGCTGGAAACCCTGTTGAACCTGTTGAACCTGACCTGGCCCTGCACCAAAGATTCGCAAAACCTTCTCCGGGACCTTCTCTGCAACCTTCTCCGGAACCCGTTGAACCTGACTTGGCTTTGCACCAAGGCTTCCTGGAACCATCTCCGGAACCTTCTCCGGAACCCTGTTGAGCCTGACCTGGCTCTGCACCAAACCCTGTTGAACTTGACCTGGCTCTGCACCAAAGCCTGACCTTCTCCGGAACCTTCTTCGGAACCCTGTTGAACCTGATGTGGCTCTGCACCAAAGCCTCCCGGAACCTTCTCTAGAACCTTCTCCGGAACCCTGTTGAGCTCGACCTGGCTCTGCACCAAAGCCTCCCAGACCTTGTCCGGAGCCTTCTCCGGAACCCTGTTGAACCTGACCTGGCTTTTTACCAAAGCCTCCCAGACCTTCTCCGGAACCTTCTTCGGAACCCTGTTGAACCTGACCTGGCTCTGCACCAAAGCCTCCCGGAACCTTCTCCAGAACCTTCTTGGGAACCCTGTAGAATATGACCTGGCTTTTGCACCAAAGGCTCCCAGACCTTCTCCGGAACCTTCTCCGCAACCCTGTTGAACCTGGCCTGGCTCTGCACCAAAGCCTCCCACACCTTCTCCTGAACCCTGTTGAACATGACCTGGCTCTGCACCAAAGCCTCCCTGACCTTCTCCGGAACCTTCTCCGGAACCCTGTTGAACCTGACTTGGCTTTGCACCAAGGCTTCCTGGAACCTTCTCTGGAACCCTCGTTGAACCTGACCCGGCGCCTGCACCAGTGCACACCGGAGCTATTCTGGGCTGAAGACCCCATTAGCTTACGCTGTTGGGGGAAAACATGTGAGGGACAAAAATGCCCCATGAAGCCCAGAATTCAATCCATGAGCAATATGCCTCATACCCGCGGCCTTCAGCACAAAGTGCGGCTGACTCTTGGCCACAACAAGAAATTCAAACATACTCCATCCACTCCACTTTTGCGACTCTTGCCTTGCTCTTCCTCTCTCCTAAAGCGAAAACTCACGCAAAAGGCTATACACTCTGCGGATGGCTTCCTTGCCAGCTTCAAAGTTCTCAGCTATTGCTGTCACCTTTCCAGTGTGCCAAACTTGAAGGTGGCATTGCGGATGCTTTATGTACAGAGATGCCGCACAGCAAACATCTGGCACATAGAGAACATGTCGGCTCCATTTCTGTGCCAGCGCTTCCAACCTGACTGGGAAGAAAAGATCGGCTTTGACCTTTTGCTTCATTAAACGGAAGGATTTGCAAGTTGCATCTGGATAGCCGCATTTCCTTGGACTGACACCATGACGAAACACGAGAAGAGCTTCATCTTGAGAAAAACTTGAGCGCATGGTCTCCATCAATTTTTCTTCATCCGCAGCTACAGCAAATCGACCACACCCACCCTGCAACCTGGAAGGCAAACAAGACATGCTACGTTCCGTATCACAGCCAGCGCAAAAAGGAATGCAGCCAAGAAACTGCACAAGGCGCGTTATCCGACGGGCAGCTGCTTGGCCATCGCCATCGCCCTGTCAGTGAGTCTAAAATACCTCTGGATCATCTGTCTGTGTGACTGGAGGGCCCATGATGGCTGGAAGATGCAAAATGGACCAAACGCCTGAGTTCTCAGTTCCCCACATTGTCTCGGATTCTTGGGTCCTTTAGTCTTCACCCTCTTGGCATCTAGCTGAGATTCTTTCCGTGCCTTGCCTTGACGCAACAGTGGACCGTTCCTTTGGACCAAACCGTGGCATCCGTAGCAGGCTTGAGCAGTCTCAAGTGCATTCTATGCAGACCTTTGCGGGGATTGTACTCTGCATTTCGAAGCTTGCAGGAGACCTGAGTAAATCTGGTCATTAGGGGCAAGCATGAGGAGAAAGAAACTTGTAGATTTCTGAGGTACAGAAGTACACCTGAGAAGGGGGGAACGAAAGCCAGCATCCCATCTACCCCTATTTTCCCCCAATGATTTTTCACCCGCAGACTTTTCCCCCACATACTTTTCACCCAGAGACTCTTCACCCAGAAACCCTTCTTGCACATACTTTTCACCCAGAGACTCTTCACCCAGAAACTCTTCACCAAGAAACTCTTCTTGCACATACTTTTCACCCAGAGACTCTTCACCCAGAGACTCTTCACCCAGAAACTCTTCTTGCACAGACTTTTCACCCAGAGACTCTTATTCAGAAACTCTTCTTGCTCACACTTTTCACCGATATACTTTTCACCCAGAGACTCTTCCCCAGAAACTCTTCTTGCACGTACTTTTAACCCATATACTTTTCACCCAGGGGCTCTTCACCCAGAAACCCTTCTTGCACAGACTTTTCGCCCATATACTTTTCACCCAGGGACTCTTCACCCAGAAACTCTTCACCCAGAAACTCTCCTTGCACATACTTTTCACCTATATACTTTTCACCCAGAGACTCTTCACCCAGAAACTCTTCTTGCACATACTTTTCACCCATATACTTTTCACCCAGAGACTCTTCACCCAGAAACTCTTCTTGCACGTACTTTTTACCCATATACTTTTCACCCAGAGACTCTTCACCCAGAAACTCTTCTTGCACATACTTTTCACCCATATACTCTTCACCCAGAAACTCTTCACCCAGAAACTCTTTTTGCACATACTTTTCACCATATACTTTTCACCCAGAGACTCTTCACCCAGAAACCCTTCTTGCACATACTTTTCACCCAGAGACTCTTCACCCAGAAACTCTTCACCCAGAAACTCTTCTTGCACATACTTTTCACCCATATACTTTTCACCCAGAGACTCTTCACCCAGAAACTCTTCTTGCACGTACTTTTTACCCATATAATTTTCACCCAGAGACTCTTCACCCAGAATCTCTTCTTGCACAGGCTTTTCACCCATATACTTTTTACTCAGAAACTCTTCACCCAGAAACTCTTCTTGCACATACTTGTCACCCATATACCTTTCACACAGAGACTCTTCACCCAGAGACTCTTCTTGCACATACTTTTCACCCAGGGACTCTTCACCCAGAAACTCTTCTTGCACAGGCTTTTCACCCATACACTCTTCACCCAGAAACTCTTCCCCAGAAACTCTTCTTGCACGTACTTTTTACCCATATACTTTTCACCCAGAGACTCTTCACCCAGAAAATCTTCTTGCACATACTTTTCACTCATATACTTTTCACCCGCAGACGGATCAAACTTATATTTCTCACTCACAGACTTTTCCCCCATATGCCTTTCACCCATAAACTTTTCACCCAGGGACTCTTCACCCAGAAAATCTTCTTGCACAGACTTTTCACCCAGAGACTCTTCACCCAAATACTCTTCTTGCAGATGCTTTTCACCCAGAAACTCTTCACCCAAAGACGGATCAACCATATACTTCTCACCCACAGACTTTTCCCATATATACTTTTCACCCATATACTTTTCACCCAGAGCCCCCCCCAGACCCCAAATTTCACTTTGTTCGCAAACAACAACTGGCCAGCTTCCCGGCCGGCTTTCGTAAAATATATATATAAATATATATGTATATATTTATATATATATATATTTATATAAGCGAACCCGGCCTGAATTGTCAGGAATGCTCTACATTCTGCTTCACAGGCCATTATGTACCTCCTCCACGGTACTTTTGGTGGTTAATTTTTGTGACAGCTGCTATGTCTACGCCTTCAAACCTCGCATTATGCGCTAGCCCTCCTTCCTCCTTCACACAAACACCTTCCCATCTGACATCACAGTGCCCGACAAAGACCCTCGAGCCGGGCGACTTTTGTCCTTCCTCCACCAACATCGACAGCAGTGGCAAAAGGCGCCTTTACCCTTACCTTTCCTATCTGTGCTAGCACTCCTTCCCCCTTCTCGCAGACATCGGCTCCTCTGCCAAGCACCCCAAAAGGCTCCCCAAAATGCGGACCTAGGGGGAATCGATACCCTACCGTCACCCTTTTGCCGCATGGTACATGACCCGGAAAAACGCTCCCAAAACACACCCTTCCCCCCAAGTAATAGCGAGATTTTGGCCCACTTGGGCAAGCCCTCCCCCCAGACCCCCTTATACTCACTTTGTTCGCAGACAGCAACGATCCAGCTAGCTGGCTTTCGTAATAATTGTATATATATATATATATGTGTATGCATTTATTTATTTATTAATTAGTCAATTTATTTATATATTTATTTTGATTTAGATTTAGATTTACATTCATATTTATATGTATATTTAATCTGTATGTTTATTCATTTGTTCATGTATTTTCTTACGTATTTTTTACTTACATTACGCATGTGAGTAACGTATGTGTCGATCCAAAATCACCCTGGGGCACATTCTGGTGATGAACCATTTGACTATAACTGTCGTAGAAATACAATATATGGAATTTCTTCAGGATGGTTTCCTCTGTAGACCTTTCTGCGTGCAATGTGGGGCGTTGTTGTTCCACCCTTTTTGCAATCAAGAAGCTGATTTCAAGTCCAGCTCAGAGCACAAACGAAAATACACCCAGCTGAACACTGGTGTCACGGCAATGCCTTCTGGTAAAGGTTCTGTCCTTGGAAATGCACAGCAGGTGGAGGCCGGGCAGACAAGGAGTAGAAAGCCAAGTCTGAGCCCTTCTAAATGCCATGTCGATACATTCGCAGCTGCCTTCAAAGTTGCAAGGGTGTCTGGTCAGAGAATTCAAAGTTGCATAAACTGCAGAACTGAGCTTGAGTCGAAAGCATCATGTCTTCGTCAACCATTGCCAGGTCAGCGGGTTTGGACTTGAAAATTGATATTTGCTCAGCATCTCCGGCCGCCTAAGTTGATCCAAAAAGATCAAGGCAAGCCAAGCAAGCCAGGCAAGCCAGGCAAGCTTCAACTTGAGGCCCAAGGGGCCGTGAACGAAAGCTAAGGTTCATATGAACCTGGAAACATGATGGGATTTTGATGGGATTTTGATATGCTGAATACAGATTGCCTTAGAGACCTGGCAATCTGCTTCCAACACTTCAAAATGCCCCGGGAGCTTAGGGGGAGGGGGGAGTAACTCCAGCTAGCTACCGCTAGCTTTCGGGATTTCAGCAATCCCCAACCTTTGGAAGAAATTTGCAAAACAACCTTTACAGTAACATCAACGTTAAACAAGATTGACATAATGCTGGGCAGTGACGGATTGCGAATCCGAAAGGCCTGAGCGATGACAGCAGAGTTCACCGGAAGGCTCTGCTTTGCAGAGTTGCAATGGGGCAATGTAAAGTTCGGAGCCCTAGCGCGCTTAGTGATCCCAAATATCCCAATGGTTTGCCCTCTAGGGTTGAGCCTTTGAAAACAACTTGCTCTTCCTCCTGCCCGTCATCGTCCACATCTGCGAAGGAGGAGGGAAAACACCGCAGGGATGCAGCCATGGCTAGCAGAGAGCTGCGGTCATCTTCGCGGCTCTGTTGGTTCAGTTGTCTTTGTCCCTGCAGCCTCTGAGACGGGCATTGTTCTCTTCAACTCATGATTTGCATAAATTCCCCGTATGGTTAGATCATCTTGATCTTAGGCCTTGCATTTCCTAGCCAGCCTATATACCTATTGCTGCTGCTATGAAGGGACAGGTTTGTTGCTTTTTGTTGCGTCGCATGCCCTCACATTGAGCCAGAGGCTCCGGTGGGCTCCGATCTCCAAAACCCTGGTGGTCACGAACCCTCTGGATGCCTGACAATCATTTGTTTTCAGGGCTCAAGGCTTGGAACAAGTTTGCGCCCCGCACGCTGCAAGCTAAGACAAGGTTCCCTGGGTCACGCTCCCAAAGGGCAAAGTCAATAAGTGCTGCCTGTTGTTTCAGATTCGACAGACTGATTCCATTGGGGTGGGAGATCCTTAGGTGTCGCGGCACAAATCCGGCAACATTCTGAAATGCAGAGTGTGGACACCACACTCCTCACTAAAAGTCAGTCTTTGAGAAGCTAACGCCACACCAGCTGCGAATTGAAAATGACGACAATGGAAATCTATGGAAATCTCATCTTCTGGCCCTGCAAACCCCTAGTTGGCATGCGGCCCGACCCAACTCACTCAGCATTCTTGCACCTTTGACATCGTTGATATTCGTTGTTTATGTCGTGCTACAAACAATAAATGGATACAAATGGCCTTTGTCAACACATCCGAGGATCATCATCTGAAGGATCTTGTTGGTCAACTCCTGGCCATGCACGGCTTCCAGAGGCCATCGACCCTAGCCTTGTTGCAGTCTGGAACCTCTTCAAAATTCACCATAATGCAATAATCGGCCAACCCCAGCGAGAGCATGGGGAGCGCGGGCACTGCGGCTTCCCTCGGCCCTTTGCAGCCTTTTGGTAGGTACAAGCAAACGAGAAAGTATGCCTACAGTCACGGTGCTTTTCTGCAAAGCACCGCTGCTGTCAAAGTCACGCCTAAGTCATGCCTAAGGGGTTTTCCTGCATGCCACCGCGATCATTGCAGCACTACCAAGAAGGAAAAAACTCACCAAGACAGGAAAAACTAGACAACCCAATGTCAGAAGTATTGCAAAGCATGATCGACCAAATCAGGCCACAAGGCAAGCATCCAGAGTTCCCAATGGCACCACTGAATCCAAACAACCACATACACGCACACACACTTGCTCAGAAACATCTTATCGAATTACTGATGTGGAATGCATCGCACGTGCAAAAACACTTCAGTTAAACCTGACAGGAATGGTTTGATGATTGGAAGTGAGAAACTGTGCGAGGAAATCTTTCTACGTCCTTGCTCGAAGGATTTACTTGTTCTCATGCAGCTCAGTCAGATTGCGAAAACCGTACAGTAGTTTGAAAACTGTTGGAAAAACGACATGCCGGTTCTTGGCTTAGCCGGTTGCCATTGACGAAAAACTGGAAAATTGCAGGTACGTTTTCACAGGAACATTGCAGCGTCTTTGTTGGCCGCTGACTGCCATGTTCCCCAGCGGCCCCCTGCTGAATTGGAAAATCCAGTTCATTATTGAAAAAACGAGTCAGTAGAAACGAAACAGCCAAACCATCGCCTAGAAGTTTTACATCTTTTCAGATGATCCACACACACACACCCTCCCGCAGGAGGGTGAAAAATTAAGGTCCGGACAGTGAAATGAAAATGAAAATGAAGGGAAATGAAGATGAGGTGAAGATGAAAATGAGATGAAAGTTACTTAACCAGGACGCGAAGAGGGGAACGCAACGCAGAGGGAAAGAGAAAACACCAACACAAGGAAACCTGGCCCACCACGGGCAAACCCTGAAAAGGCAAGGAAAAAGAAAAGCGAAGGCAGACGGAAACGGAAAAAGACCAGCGGAGGGGGGGGAAGGACGGACGCGCCTGAACCAACCTACCACAGCGAACCTACGCCTACCTCAGCACGCGCAGAACCCAACCTACCTGGAGAGAGGAGAACGCAGGAACACATGAAATAAGGGACCCATGGGGAACTAGTTAATGAAAAGATGCATCCACATTGCATGCAAGATTCGTGATAAGGCTCAAAGGCCCTCGGCATTCAAGTCACAACCCTCTGGACGGCTTACGTGTTCAACCCCTGAATTAGGTGCACAATTTCAACCTCACCGAGAAACCAAAAAAGAAAGATACCACACCTTGAAAGCATGTCCTGTTACCTGATCATGTGCAAATGGCTGCGGAGTGGCTGTCTCTTGAAACAACAGGAAGGTTGTTGTCGCAGCTTAAGACTATGCATTGGCTGTCCAATGAAAATGGTGAGGCCAGGAAAAGCGGCCAGCTGTTCAACACATCGACATCGACAAATGAGAAAAGGAAAAGGGTGAGGCCAAGCACAGCGGCCAGCGGTTCAACACAACGACATCGACGGGTGAGACAAGGAAAAAAGGCCGGCTGTTCACTTTACTTAAACGAATTACTAATTCAAAAGTGTAAATTCAGAAATCGTTTTACCGTCAATTGTTAGCCTAGAAAGGCTTTCCCCGAAGGGCTCATACCACCTTGACGGATATCGGCATGAGTGACACACTTGCTCAGAAACATCTTATCGAATTACTGATGCGGAATGCATCGCACGTGCAAAAACACTTCAGTTAAATCTGACAGGAATGGTTTGATGATTGGAAGTGAGAAACTGTGCGAGGAAATCTTTCTACGTCCTTGCTCGAAGGATTTACTTGTTCTGATGCAGCTCAGTCAGATTGCGAAAACCGTACAGTAGTTTGAAAACTGTTGGAAAAACGACATGCCGGTTCTTGGCTTAGCCGGTTGCCATTGACGAAAAACTGGAAAATTGCAGGTACGTTTTCACAGGAACATTGCCGCGTCTTCGTTGGCCGCTGACTGCCATGTTCCCCAGCGGCCCCCTGCTGAATTGGAAAATCCAGTTCATTATTGAAAAAACGAGTCAGTAGAAACGAAACAGCCAAACCATCGCTTAGAAGTTTTACATCTTTTCAGATGATCCACACACTAGACAAGAATGGATCATTATATGATCCGGCAGGAACTGAATCCTGAAACATGCAGATTAGATACGAAACAAAGAAATTAACGATGCAACCTACGAATAATAGAAGTTCTCCTGAATGATTTCCATGCCCAAGAACGTTGTCAATAAAATACATCGGCGACGCGGTTTTGACAAAATAATCCAAATACATCGGCGACATGGTTAGGCGAAATATTCCCGAAATTCAAAAATACTGTCGGCGACATGGTTCGGCGAAAATACTGAGGAAGGTTCTGATGCAGCTGAACTAATCGTAAATGACCAACATTGATTCCAGATTGCGACAACAGTGCAGCAACATGACAGCTTGTTCAACAGTTCAAACTGAGTTCTGCAGGTACACATCAGGACGTCTCCCGATGCATCACCAGAGAATGTGGGCGTCTTCGTTGGCAGTGATCCCACAGACTCTGTCACTGCCCCCTGCTTACTAGGTAGAAACGAAATCGAAGTTTTACATCTTTACAGATGAGACACACACACACACCCCGCAGTAGCGGGGTTTGATTTTTGGAAGAGCTTGGCGCGTGGGTGCAGCAATGCACAAGTTGATGTGAGTCTGTAAAAAGCTAATGTACATACCGGCGGCGATCACTTCATTCAGAAGAGAAATTCGGAGCTTGTTGAAGGATTTGGATGGCATCGTGGAAGCTCATGTGTTCAACCATCGCCCAAGTCTCGTTGAGTTCCCCAGATGCCGTAGCAGCCTTCAAAGTATCGGATAGATGTTTTGCTAAATCCTGGATCCGGGTGGCTAGGCCAGGTTCATCTGCAGGAGAGATCGTCTCAATGGGAACATTGTGAAAAGGATTGTGCCCGTGTACTAGAGGAATTTCAAAATGATGGCGCCAGTAGTCCGCAGTGCGTAAAGACCACTCCCAATTGCCGGAGAGACCGTAGAAATAATGTTCAGGATCACGACATTTGGAGATTCCCGATGTCGGAATCTCTTCAATGAATAACTCCCTGGTGTTGTTTGAATGAGTAAAGATCTTGAAGTGAATCTGGTGAACCACACGTGAGGAGAAACGCGCGTGATGAAGAGCCATGTAAGTTGAGCCATCCTGTGTTGGGAAAGGTACAGCAGGTTGAGGTGGAGCCGAATATGTGTCCATTGGCGTCGAATTGCCTGGGCCATTGGGTGTAGTCACCGCTTCCAAAGATGCCGAAGGGGTCGAGGTCGTAAGAGCAGGAGCTTCAATAGTACTTGCATCAGGATGTGTAACTGGGTTTCCACGGTTCGAAGCCGAAGGCCATCCCAAGCCCTTGTTCTCCATGGGTGAGACGGTCACGCTAAGGAAGTGAAAAAACCAAAAGCTGAGTGAACAATAAGGGCCAAACGGGATCGATGGAGAAGCCGTAAATAAACGAGGTACAAACGTAGGCGAGGTCATAAAATGAAAGAAGAAGTGAATACCCGACAAAACATGTTCGCACTCAAAGGCTTATCAAGATGGTGAAGAAATCAAATTGTCTTTTCCCGCAATCTGGTCAACGTGTAACGTCATGGTAGGATCACACCCTTGTGGCATTGAAGTCGCAATACAAAAGGTTGGGAGGTACCTGGGACCAGCCAAGTAGATTCGATGTAATTGTACTGCCGGATGCGCCATTCAGGTCGGTATTCCTCCAAAAGTTGAACTATGGTCCAATCCATTGGTACTTGGAAAACATCTCCCTGAAGATCAGCATAGCGAAATTCCAAATCGGAGGGTGCCATAAGAATGTCCCATTGGGTGCATAATCTTGTGATCAATGCGGTGCGTAAATCTCGAAATGGAAAGATGCCGGCCTCGATTGGTTGATAATGACGTGCCCAGGTAAAAAGAGCTTCAAGTTCTCCAGTACTGACGTTTCTGAAATTTGAGTTTGCAAGAACACTGTATAGGGCATGATCAGGTTCGCTGCGATGTGTCAGTTCCTGTAAAGGAGAGTCATCCACCAGAACTAA